CAGTACCACATACCACAAACACCAACACTCCTGTAATAAAGAAACCAGGACCCCCTAAGGGCTGCAAACTCCAGTATGTATTCCATGGCCCACAGCAGTTACAGCCTTTGGTTTGTGTGAGAAACCAAGTCATTTGCTAACTGGCCAAGCAGCTCTATGGTCTTCCATACTCTCATGGCACCTAGTGACCAGGAACTTTGCCAGTGAACTCGACTGTCTGGTACACCAGTGTGTGAATCCTGCCTCCACAAGAGCTGCAAGATGATAAGCTTCCCTTGGCAGATAGCTGCTGCAGAAAGTGACAGTGACAGCTGGATTACAGATGAAGGGAAGACACAACATCACCTGACTTCCAGTCTGTTCAGCAACAAAAATCAGAGGGTTGAAGCAGACCTGATCAACAGCTGTAGAACCAGAAATGACATAGCTAACACATTCTCAGTAATCAACATTTAGGTCACAAAAATAATAAAGCAAAGTGATTAAACCATTTTAAATATGCAATGCATAAGGGCAGTATTATATATACTGAAAGTTGGGGGGAGATTCTCCACCACAAAAAATTGCTTCTTTATTTTAAAATCTTCCACAAAGGAACCTTTCATATTTTTAGTATGCATCCAAAAAAATTTTGAATGCAGTACTACCCTTGTTATAAATACAGAACCTGACAAAAAGATCTGAAGAGTGTAGAAAAAAGGAAAAAAGTATTTTGCCTAGTAGCATTGTAGAAGTCTGCTTTGATAACCTTAAAATGAAAAAGGAGAAAAATTAACTTCTTGATGGTGCTACATATTTGAAGCATCCTTATTTTAACAGTGCATTCTCCAAATCTACCAAATTAATTAAGCTACAAGATATGGAACTACAGCCTTATGTTAAAACAATTTGAAAATTGATCCTCAACACTTACTAATGGCAATACCCACTGTTAATCCTACTTTGCATTCAACTACCACAATAAATAGCTATTTCACCATTATTATTATAATTCAAATTTTTTTAGGATCTACTCTTGCTATTAGCAGTCTTTATTAGTATTGCTTTTCTGTTTCTTTAAACACAGCTTGTGCTTAAAGCAAACCATAGCAACTGCAAAGAAGTTACCTGCACCCCCTAAGCTCAGCGTGAATTGCTCAAGCATTGCTAATTTTGAAGTGGGAGGAGTTGAAAAAATGAGGTCTTTTTTATATAAAAAGCTTAAATGACTCATGAAAACTCTTCTGGCATAGCTCATACATGCTTGACAACAACAACAACACATATAGCACTGTCCATCACTCAAGCTCTGTACAAACCAGCCCAAGAACATTGGGCATAACAGCCTGTTTCTGAGACCAGTGAACTGGCTGCTCCCAAGTTTCCTAATTTGCTCTAGGAAGTACCTTACATTTGACATTCAATTAATCAGTGTTTAAAAAGAATAAGGTACCTGGCATAACAGTCCAGGAGACTTCCAGATGGCCAAAATGTCTGCAAGCAAACAGATCAACAGAGTCATATCCACTTAAGAGTTTCTGACCTTGGCCAAATTTCCAGGCTAGTACCAGCAATGGTACATTGTCAGTGGTGAAAAACCTGAAGATTTTCTTTAGCACTGGAAGGGAAGAGCTGCACACTAATCAGTGGTGGAACAGAAGTGAACAGACTGCTGAAAAGGGCTACTAAAAAAGAAGCAAGATCAACAGACATTTCTCGATCTGAATGCCTGGTCCACCTAGTAACTGCCTTTGGTAATCACTTTCATAGGTTAATCAGATTACAGCTGCTTTTCACCCTCCAGCCCTCTTTTTAAGATGTTCCAGAATTTAGCTCCACTAGTGATCTGATATTTATTTTCACACTGCTTTTAGCTAGAACTAGCTTCTACACACTACTGTTGCCACCCACAGAATTTTCTTTCTGTCAATCCTGTTTCCAGCTCTCAAATCCCTGCATCTTTCTCTGTCACCTAAACATCCTTGGTCATCTGGCGAGCACAGCCAGAGATTTATACTGCTTTGAGTGCCATTGCCCTGGTCCCTTAATTTAATGTGAAGAAATTATTCTAACAGAGAAGCTCAGGCTGGATCACATCCAAAGACTGTAACAATATTGCTCTTCTTTAAGCTCAGATGTTGCAGAAGAAAGTTCAACAGAAATAAGATCATATGGAAACAATGTGCCAAATAGTGGCACATCCAAAAAAAGCATAAAGTATTACAGACTGCATAAACAGCATGATAGGTGTCCTGAGAGATGCCAAAGCACCTGGCTCCAATGCTTTTCCCTGCCATCACTGCAAATTAAAATCAAACAGAGTAAATGCAGCAACTCTCAAAGTGCTGCTGGCCTTCCATACTCAAGACAAAGCATCCACAAAGGAAGAGCATCAATCCATCAGACGACACCCAAGTGGCTTTCCTTAATTAGAGATTAGCTAACATTAGAACTGGCAAGTGAACAGAAGGCTCCATACACTGCTACTGCTTCCACCCTACAGCCTTTATCTCCGCTCCCCCGCACCCTACACCGACTACCTGCCCCCAGTACTCTCTTTGTCTTCTTCTCCCACTCAATTTTCTGCCTGAAAAAACTCTCCTCCTTTTATGTGCCAGGTAGAACTCCCTCCCTTTCTTTCAATACTTCCTTACACAAATTCCCTCCACCTTCTTTGCTCCACTCAGCTCTGTTGGGGGGCCTCCACTGCTATTATCCACACTGCATCACACGGGCACTGCTCAAGTCATCACACACTTTGTCATTCCAGAAGACAAGTGTGGGATTGAAGACCTTCTGTAAAGCACACCTGATGGGGCAACCTGGCATCTCAGACCTTAGGTGAATAGCTGCTCCCTCTTGGCTGTTCATCCAGCAGTGATAACTAACTCTTCAATCCAAAACAAAAGCCTGATGGTCATATGAAGGACAGAAATTAATTCAGAAATACTGTGCTCTGGTTTGGAATTGTCTGTCACATAGATCAAGACCACAGAAAGAGACATTCTTTCACATCAAAGGCAGCAGCATTCTGGGTAATCAAAGAGCAACCTTGACAGGGTCAGAGCTAAGTATGACACAGATCTCAAGACAGGGCTAGCAATTAGCATTTACTCTGTAACTTATATAGCATTCTAGAAGCACACCTGGGGCAGCCAGGACCCGCCCTTTTGCAGGTGTATGCATCATTTCACCCTGGGTCTTCCAGCCTGTATAAACCACTTAAGCAGCTGCAGAAGAATCTCTCTCTGTTCACCTCAACATCCTATTAAAAAAAATAATAATTTTGAAACATTCTACAGTAGTTTACTCCCAGGAGAGGATCACCTAAAATACACAAAAATCTATTGTAAGCATGGAGCTCTTCAGCTACATCAGGTGTGCCAATGCTTCAGTTCCTTCACAGAAACCTGACCAACCCAAGTGTTTTATATTACTGCTTTGCTTTCAAAGCATGTGCAGTACTTTATATTTCTAAGGCACTTTATGTTTCCAAAGGTCTATATACACACCAGCTAAATTAGAGACAGCTAACAAGAATATCCCAAGATGCTGAATCTCAGTGTGTAGTGAGTATGTTAATTTTTTCTCCTTCCCTAAAACAGGGAAAGTTAAGGATCTAAAGATGCCTACAAGTGTGCTCCCTGAACTACGGAACAATATTTTCAAGGAAAAGGTGCTGTATTTCAAACTTCCATTCTGCCAGTGTGTAGAAAAGCAGAAAATTCCACCCTGGCCAAACAGAAATTGCTCTGATTCACTGTAACTGCTGAGAAGATATCACACACAGTGTCAGATGCAATTTCCATTCAAAACAGACATCCACGTTGTACACACTCATCTCCTGAACTGGCACTACACTACAGCCATGCCTCTAGGGGCTCTGTTCTGAGGAAAACAACAGAAAAGGAACTGCTAATCCCTTAATTAGTGGCACCCACTTCACCTTCTGCAGGAATAATTTAGAAAGTCTGAATGGGCCACACATCACACAAGGTGAAAATTCAGTAACTAAAAATGACTCAGGTTGTTGGTTCACTTCTCAGTACCTACATCTCAGCTGGGCAAGGCTACTGAAGGGAAGTACTCAGTGTCAACTGAGAACAGCTTCACAAACCACTGATCAAATCTGCCCCTTTCAAATTTCTGATGGGACTTGCATTACACCAGGCAAATCACTGATCCTAGGTCCCAAGCACAGCTCCAGGAATACACAATTAGGGCCATGTTCCCTTGAATTTTCATAAAGCTCTTGTTTAAGCCACACCAACAAGGGGATTAACTGTACATTCCTGGCTGAGCTACTTCACTGGCTAGGTAAGAACTGAAGCACAAACCATACCCACCAAAGACGCTGATAGGTCTCGTCATCCATTCTGCGACTCCCCTGGCCAGACCTCCCACACAATGACTGCAGCACATCAGAGTCCTACAAAGCTGTCCACTAGATTATGGCAAACTCCACAATACTTATTTATCTATCTCAGGATGCAAGTGGCATGAACCAGGCCATCTACCATCGACTCAAAGGTCAGAGTTAAAAGCCTCTCTCCCCTCACACTGACATTTCAAGGCTGCTCCCTTTAGGAGCCACATACCCTATTCTATGTGTAAGCATCTCTTGCAGTAAAAGGAAAAGCAAGGCCCATCTCCCTTTACCCAAGAGCCTACCTCCTTTCCACTCACAACTATCAGAGAGAGAAATACTACTCCTTAAAACATTACTCCATTTTCTCCAATCAGGTAAAGAGAGACTCAGGTAATGGAACAGAAAAACAAAGACATTTGGATACCACAGTGAGCATGGAAGACAAGGAAGTAAATTAGCTACCATTATGATAACGAACTGGCTTTCCAAAGGAGGCAATTTGCATGTAACAACTAAGAAGCAACATAAAGATGCTTTAACAGAACTGCTGCTTGCTTTTCATCCCTGCAGCAATGGAACAAGCAGTCACGGCCACAAAACAACCATCACTGTGGGTTTTTCCTCTTTGACTGTCTCTGCAGAGGCCAAGTACCTGACCAGAGCTCCCTCCAAGTGTAATGAAGCCTCACTCTGCATTTCTTCTGGTAGCACAGCAGCTTGTGCACAATCTGAATGCACCGTCTGGAAAAGAGAGGGCAAAGGATTAATGACATTGCATCTTCCCACAATTCTACAGCAAGCCTGGAAATATCGCTGAAATCAGCAGCAGGGAAATAGCCAAATTCAAAGACAATCAGAGGAATATGGGAGTTGTGACTTTTGCCTCCTAAGGGGAATGAACACTCACAAAAAAAAAGAATATGACCAAATAAAAAAAGGGACCTGCATGCCAGTTTATACTCAACAGGATAGGACTGACCACAAATGCATGTTTGCTGTTCAATAAATACTTTTCACTCTTTGCTACCCTAAGGGCCTCATAAACTCTACAAAATGAGTTACTTAACTTGCAGTGAGATACTGCAAGCTGCTGTAAAATTTGGACACAATGGAGCTTCTCCATTTCTCTGGCCCCGGTGATGAGGCTGAAGGAAATGAGGGTGTCAGAAAAACTGCAGGATTTTTAGTTTGATTAAGGTGTATGGTTTAATTACATTAAAAAATCAAATTTTCCAGTCTCCTTAAGTGTGAGCTTTGGAATGTTCATGGAATACACATACAACCTCTGGAATCCCCCAGCATACAAGCAGTGCATGTGTCAAGTCTCCAAATCCTGCAGGTCTCTATAGCATCTAATGTTCATCCATACTCTTAGGTGCACAAACATTCTTCACAAATAACATCCAGACTAAAAATACAGCACAGTGAGTAAATTCTCTAACTGTTCATTACAGACAAGACAAAACATATATACAAATTTGAATTTGTCAGGCCAAGCTATTTTATCTATTGACATGTAGAAAAAATAGAAGAAAGACAACAAAAAGAATAAATCCCTTTCCCCCCAAATCCCTACTTCTCAAAAACACACTATCTCATTAAAACCCACATCTTTCTGAAAAGACATTGATGACAGACACTGCACATCAGATAAACATGGAGAAATTAAATTCTAAAAATTTGCATGGAATTTATTCAAAAATCAGGTGAAAAGTTCAAGACAAGGCTTTAAAACAAGGCTGTAGCAAAAAAAATATGCAGAAGTTATGCATTATTCTTTTCAGACCCATAGATAATCCCAAAAATACCACAATAAGGCAGGAACTGAAACTAACTTTGAATAAAGGTAAAACTATTTATAATCACTGAGCATGACATTAAGTGCTGCATTTCAAATTGGATTCTCATAAATTCAACCAAGAAAAGGAAGCAAACCAGCTAGGATAGACAGCTGTCCTCAGATCAGGAACAACAATATCTGTGGGAAGAAACCTCCTACTTCTGATGTTACTGGTACTGGACAATGCCCAGCACCTTTTTACCTCTATATCTGCTTGGCTGTAAGTCAAGTTATGAAGTTATCCATGCTGGTGGGGTGTCTCTGGTTTTTAAAAGTTTTGTGCTGAGGATTCATAATACAAATAATGGACAAAAAGTACTCTTAGTCTAAGGAACCTGGATTTCTCTTTTAAATATTAACATGCCCAGCCTTGTGCAGCTTCATATTGTCACCTCTTAAATGTACTGCAGAGAAGTACAACACTACTTGTGCATTCAAAACACCCACTTTGTCTGCAATAACTGTGTCTGCCATGGGATGGTTTCAGACAGGAGCAGAGTGAAAGGACTGCACAAACATGCCAAAATAAATGGATACACTGGTCCACTGATGGTTGCTACTGCTCATTATTTCTAGTGTTATGGGGTTTCTAGACGTGATGTTGCTTTTGAGTCCAAGCATTTCACACCCTTCTTGTGAAACTCCAGAGCATTGCACCTATCTACAATTAGTTCTGCAATTGTAATTTAAAAAGAAAAATTCTCGCCAACTCAGTTGAGCTGTACAACCCTTGAAAAGGCACCCGAATTGCAAGGTTATTTGGGCAAAATCAGAATATGCTGAAAAGTTACCTTAAGGGAAAACATCCTATGTGTGTTTATCTTTGCTCCAGAACACAGTGCTGTTCACATCTTGGGGAAATTCAGCACTGTACAAACAGAGCAAAGCCAATAAACTGTCTAAATCCTACTCCTGCCCTCCAGGCTAAAGCAGTACAAAGCTTTGGACAGGCCCCTGTGGGACACATGGAGTGCTCATGAGTAGCTCTGTCCTCTGGTCTCCTTTTGCCCATTGCTGAGTTTTACCCCTTGCTGCCTACACCTCCCTCCCTCTCCACACTGCCTTCCAGGCCTCGTGTCAGTCATCCTTGCTTTTTCAAAAGTATCTTTTCTGTTTCTAGACCAAGATTCATCTTCTGGGAAGTGGGGATTGCTGCAATGACTCCGCGTTACGAAACTTCTTTTAGACTGAAAAGCTCTTTGTGTCAGATCAAGTAGATTAGGGAAACAGTCTGAAATTGAATTGCTTTCAATTTTCTGGCACACAGAGGATTTTTGAAGTAGAAAAAGTTACTGGAAGAGTTCATGAAAAGCCATCCCACTCCCCACCAGCCACAAAGTGTTATTTCAGCCAGAAGATTGCTCTGTGAGCAGGATTCTACCTAAATTCAAACTTCAAATGAAATCACAGTGAGTTACCCCACAGACACTTACACATAGAGATCCATAGGAAATTCTTTCATCATGTGTGTTACAATGAATTCCACCATCAAATCTGACAGAAAAGAAAATTATAAGGTAAGTATTGAGCTGGCTACTGTTAGCTTTTAGTAGACTACAAGGAAGTCAAACTGCCCCACCTACCTATCTCTACCAGACAATAGTCCTGCTTAGATGAAAGGGACTTCACTTTTTTGTTTGTTTGTTCTAAAGAACATTAGACATTTGCTACAACTAGAAAAGAACCTACTGGAAACTGAGGGTACATACTGTAATTTGCTTTGAGGCACTGCTTCCCCATATGGTTTCCCCCACTATTAGTCAAATAAAGACTATACCATGAATTCTGATGTTTAAAATTGCTCTCATATTTCAAGACCTGTCAGTAAGGAAAAATTCCATTAAGAAGCACATTTTAGAAAATTATTCAGAAACAATGCACAACCTAGATGCTACTTAAACAGACATTGTAAATAACACCTATTTTTCCTAAAACAAATTAGGAAGTAAGTAAAGCTAGTTTGATCTCAACACAGGCTAAGCTTTTGCTTAAGACTAATTAGGGGAAAAAAGAAAAATGCAGTATGTGTCTAACATTTAAGGGCTTCCAGTAGGAAGATAAGAGGCAAAGAGTATAGAAATATAATTGAAAGAAGCTAATCAATGATAACTGAACATGTGTGGGGGTGTGTTCAACCCAACTTCAGCATGAAATGCTTATACCAAGCCCCTGGTAACAATGGTGAGCTGTCACCTCCTAGGGCAGTAACAGCCCAGCAGTGTGATTCAACAGTGACTAGAAACAGTGCAGGTGAAGAATGTACGAGATCTGTTATCTCTAGAAAGATTCTTCATGCAGCTGTTGTGTCTTGGCCTCAACAATCACATTGGAAAATGTTGAAGCCTAAGACTGCTTCTGTACCATCAGGCTGAACAGCCATTCAGGGATCCAGGCTCCATCCCTTTCTGAACCCACATGTGCTTTTGGCCTTCACAGTAACGAGAGTCACAACTTAATCATGCGCTGCATGAAAAGCTTTCAACTACGCCTCCATATCCACAGGCAAAACCAATCCTAGCTACTAACATTCCTGTTGTTTTTTGGCTCAGAAAAGGCTCAATGCCCAGCAAACATGTTCACAAATATGTTTTTTTGAAGCAGAGGTCTGCCATCATCACATCATCTACAAAGTACTTGTTGCTACCACACTCACCTAAACACTGAATTTATTAATCAACTGCCCTCCCTCCTGTTAAAAACTCACCTCAAATGGGCCACACTGTGTATGCAAAACTTTCTGTAAATGCATATAGGATTTATTGCTACAGAGCTGCAATCTCAGATTTGTCTGCGAGGTAGCCATGTACAAAGATGGGCATGGATTGCTGGAAACATCTTTAGTATGTAACTGTCCTTTTAAGTCTATCCACTGCTCCATTAAATCCTCAAATCTCATATTTCTATTGCCCAACAAGAGATGCTGCAGGAGCCACAAGCACACAGGTGCTCTGACCACACTCACCGAGCACCGCACACACCAGCGGGCGGCAGGGCAGGTTCTTGTCTGCTGCTTTCTTCCGATGCCTCATTGGCTTCAAACACACAAAGATGAAAAGAAGTCAGCAGAGGCCTCAAGTGACAGTCTGTGTATTACTGTATTTTGCAAGCAAACAGTACAATGGCAGAGGCTTCCTTTTGTCTTTTTCTCCAACTGCCATCTTATACACACTAACCCTGAAGACCATGGCTGGAGCAAAATTGTGCCTGCTTTCCAGCATGCTGATACTGGGGGTTTGTTTCTCTAGCTGTGCAGCTGGAAGGCACTGTTCTACTGATGGGAGGGACCCCAAGACAAAAACAAATCACACAGAAATTCCTCCCCCTTGGTTAACATACTGATGTGCTTCTGACCCCAGAAGTCTGACTGGCATTCTTAAAAGTGTGTACAGTAGTTAATGGCTTTGGTGTTCACTGTAACAGACCAGAAAAGCTAACTGGATAGCAGTTCTGTTGTTAAGGGGTAATGACTAGCATTCTTGCAGTATGGTCTCCATAAAGTAAAATGTTTGTTTCTTTCTTGAACAGTGAGTGACTTTCAAGTGCTGCTTCACTGTCAGATGAGGTGAACTTTGTGCCAGTACCACAAAGACAGAATACATCAAGTTAGGATAACCATTCAAGTTACTTGTAAGTGCAGAACTTCATGAGCCAGGTAAGGACACTTCTACCACAGGAAAAAGCTCTGGAAAAAATACTTTGCTCCCTGAAGGTGAATTACTCCACCAGAATAAGCCAAATAAGAGCACTCAGTGTAACTCCAGCTGGCTATTATGTATCACATGAGGGCTAATGCTTGCTGGAGATTAAGGCAGAACATTCTCCCCACCACTGATTTCCTCAGAGACCTTGTAATACACAGCTCCTCGCCAGCTAGACAGGCCTCTAAATTCACTGACAGGGCAAAGAGCTCTTTGTTCTTTGAAGAATGGAGACATTGTGAGAGCAATTTCAAAATCATTCTGCAACTACTGCATTTCTGACAGTAGTTCCACATGCCTTAGCAATGTAGGTTACATGTCTGTGACACAATTTTCAACATATATTTTTCATACATATTCAAATCCTCTGCATTTGCATGCCAAAGAGAAAACAATCTGGAGGAAAAGACTCACCATTCTGTGTAGGTTTACACGAAAATTCATGTTGTCATCATGAAGAAAAGCATTAGCATATTGATCCTATTGAAAAGGGCAAGAAAAGGGAGGAGATATGAAAAGCCCAACACCCTACAGCTGCCTTTCAAATCACATTTCAGTGTAAAACTCCCAAGATACAACCACAAAGCTATAAAGCCACCTGTTCATTTCTTCTTTCCCACCCATCTTTCCAGTCACACAAAAGTAAACCCCTCCTGATCCCAATTCCACTTCAGAAAAATAAATTGCTAACAAAACAAGCAGTAGTTCATTCTAACTTTCTCCCCCTTAGCTCATTTAAACTCTGACTGTGGACACCATGGTGTCACAAGTTTAACAAGTGCTCCAGGTATATAATACAAGCGGTGGGTCTCCAGCACCAGTTCTGTGACTGTGTGGATAAAAGTTTCTTCTGGCATTTTGATTCCAGAAGCTACTAGCAGATAGGTTTATGAGCTGTTCCACTCCTCAAACAAATCTCATTCCAAGACCACCTCTAAATTAAAGAGACTTCTCCAGATAATGCACAGCCAGAACAGCTACTAAATATACCCTCTCTTTAATATCAGAACCAAAGAATGCCCTTGTTATGCAGGAACAGAATTTCTTATCTTGTGTTATCTATGCAGCCACCTGAAGAACAAGTACCAAAGCCATTTAATTAGAAAAATTTTAAATGTAGATTATTCATTTTCAGGCTGCACCCTGAAGAAACATTATTACAGAATCCTTACACTGGCTATCACCCTCACTGCTTTTTATTCTTTAAGGATGAAAGGTCTTTACTTGCAAGTAAGCAAGATGTGAATGCTACACAAACACAACCACCATTCAGGACATCAGTCAGCCATTAGAACATAGTCCCCATCAGACAGGGCCACATTCAGGCAGGGCTGCTGGCAGAACTCTGTGATGCTGCTTTCTCACCCTACTACCACATTTGCTACTTGTCTTGCTTGTAGGGACCTACAAACACTTGGCTTACTTTCAGACTTGTATCCTTCTTTGGCAGAAGGGATATGGCACAGCCCGTGTTTACCATGAACAGCACAGAGCTGAAAGGCATTAGCACATTACTCACCTAAAAGCCACACCACAGGGTCACTCAAAAGCTTAGAGAGAAAAGGCTTAGGTTCACTCTTTTTTCTCCTCAGCCCCAGAAGCTGGCTAACTCAAATAAGATGATCCAATTTTCAAGTTTCGAGTCAACTTTAGCAGTATTGCATCAAGTATATTGGCAAACAGTAAATGCCTGAGGACCTCACCACTCAGTACCACTGTGGATATTCAGCTCCTGCCCCACAGGAGGCAGGGGCATAGAGCCCTGTAACACACCATCAGCTGAGCAGCTTCACATGAGAAACCTACCTCTGCTATGCATGTCAGGATAATGAGGCACAGCTTGCCACTGTGCAGCCGGTGCTCATCTGCAAAGGAGAGAAAACAAGTCCTCCATGAGCCACACACACCCAGCAAGGCTGAAGAGCAAGAAAGCTGCTGCACCAAAAGAAAAGCCCAGCTTGGAGATTCTCCATAGTCCTAGCTCCTCCACAACAGCTAGTAGCATTAAGCACTCATCCTCCAGCCTGGCCACTAAATCCCACTCACTTGTCACCAGTCTGCACCAACAGCAACGACTCGGGTTTGAACTTCCAACAGCATTGTAACAATCTGCTGGGATTCTGTCTCATTCAGTTTTACTTCCACAGATATTCTTAATACTGTCCTTCTGTCACAGCAGACACACAGTTCCCTCTCTTAGACAAGGTGGAAAGCAAAACATCACCTTTGCTGTAGGTTATGAAACAAGCAGCAAAGCTTTCACAGAGGCACAGCACTGTGTAGCAAAACAACTGCTGACATTATGCTCCAAGTTCCAAGTTTTAACCCCAATACTGAGAGACACGACCTACTTTGCTCTTTGCAAAACTATGAAAGAAGGGAGTCTGCAAAGACTTAGTATTTTAAGTCAAGAGTTTCACCCTGTTCATGTTCCACAACTTCTTATTCATCTCACAACTTCAAACAGCTTTTGCCTTGAATGATAGCTGGAGCAAAACAGAGAGACTAAGGCAGAAGAATACAATTTTTATTTGGATTATTTAAAACTCCTCTCAATTTTAACCTTGAATATATAAAAAAACCCCAAGACACATACAGCCATGGAGTAACACAGGACAGAAGAAACCTCTGGTTCAATCCTTGCTCAGAGCAGGGCCAGATAAGATCATGTTGTGGAAGGCACTGTTCAATCAAGCCCATTTTAAAGTCTTCATTCTAAAAAACAATGTGCTTGGACCACACATCCCCAAAACCCACAAAAACAAACCAACAAAAAACAACACACTGATAACTAAACTCAGAGAAGGCTTCACATTGCACATTCCTGAGATTTCCAATAGCTGCTCTAAAGCACAGGAGTGCAAAACATGCCACCCCAGACATCTGCCTTAGAGTCAAACTCAAAGGAGAGGGCTATCTGAAACAGTCAGCCACACTTTCATATAAAGCACAAGACAGCATCAGCCAAATTCCTTCTTTGCAGGTGACTTTGACAAACACTTTGCTAGCTGGTGTGTATATGGTAATTAGAAAAACAGATAGAATGGGCTTAGCTAGCTGTTCTGTCTAGTTTGACACCTGTTTTGTTTTCTTTTCTATGCTGCTCAGGGACAGATATTTACTAACAAGATGTGCCCTGAAGTGTGCTGGTTTCATCTTGCAGCACTAAGATGAAGAGGAATTTTGGAATGGGAGAGTTAAAAGCCTCTCCCACCTCCTTACCTCAGCTAAAACCTTTAAGTGTGAAGTTTTGTACTTCAGCAAGAAGGAGAAATGACCTAGAATAAAACTGATACACAAGAGTCTTGTTATTTTTATATTGTAAAGCCTCCCTGTACATTTCTGTAGGTGCTGCTACCACTTCTCTCTCCAGGGATCATGCTGTAAAGGCTCCTGTTTCACACCATGGACTCTGCCCTCTGCCAGTGTCTTTGTGAACATCAGACCATTTTCAGGAGCTATGGGGCAGCTATGCAAGCAGTTACTTGCACACACACTTCACACTTTCACAGAAACCTTCATTAAAGCAACAAAGCAGACCACTTTCTACAGGGAGGCATATCAGTATGAAACCTATTTTGCAGATGGGAGAAAATGACACAGAGGTTTTGTTTCTCCCAAGGCAGCTGCCTCTAACTGACACAAGGGAGGATAACAAGAGAAGGAAGTAGCAAACACAGTCTATTAAATTATGCTCTCTGGGATAGGACCAAAACAACTGTCTAGCCCTGGTTGTGGAACAAACCAGTTTCCCCTCTAAGTGTTCCCACCTGTCTCAAGACACGAGGAGTAAATTAGAATTATTAATTCTTCTTATTACATTGGTGTCACAGAGAAGCATAGAATCATTTAGGCTAGAACAGACCTCTAAGACCATGGAGTCCAATCATTAATCCAGCACACCATGCCCCTAACTGCCAAATTAAATACCTTCAGGGATTGTGACTCAAGCACTTCCCTGGGCAGTCTGTTCCATGCTTGATCTTATAAAAGAAAAAAAAAATAAGGCAGTTCTTCATCTATAATCAAAAAAATAGGTCAGGAATATACCCACTAGAATTAGTAAGTATTGGTTTGCGAGGCACATTTTTTAAATGATCAATCAGTGGAGCTCACTGCCATGAACTACTGTGGTGGGAAGGAGGTCTTTCAGCACAAATTCCAGACCTTAAATAAACTAGAACCAAAGTAAAGAAAGAAACATCAACTCCTGTCTCATAACACAATAAATTCATATCTCACTGGCTTGTTTAGTAAGGAATCCCTTCTATCAGATTTCATTCTATCTGAAACTAATGCAGTGTGGTAGTTTCCAAGGCCCTGTGCAGACTTTCCATATTACTAATAAGGGCAGAAGTTAAACTGAAAAATATAAAATTGTTCCATCAGAGTCTTGGATCAGCAAGACAGACCCTGAGAGAAGCAAATGAGAATGAGCACATTAGAGAGCTGGTAAGCCCTCCTCACGTGTGCAATCTATTAAAATGACTGAGCCAAGATTGATGTGGTTTAGTTCAAAAGACAAAAGCAAGAGGAAACATTAAAGAAGACTTCAAATACATAAGGGATGACACACAGAAAAAAGAAATAATCCATTCTCAATATCTATCTTGGAGAAGATAACTGGTAATTAATTTAAATCACAGCAAAGAATTTAGGAAGCACACGAAGCTTTCTCACAGTAAGGACAGTTAACACTGGAATGGATAGTCTGAAAATGGTGCTCCATTGTCACAGTATCTTCATCCAACCTGTCAGCAAAATCTCTGAGAAAAGATACAGGTAAACCTGATTCTGCCCTGGTTCCAAGGAATTGTGGTTTAACTCCAGACAGCAACTAAGTGCCATGCAGCTGCTCAATCACTTGCAATGCTTCTCCTCTCCCCACAGTGGGGAGAAGAATTAAAAATAAAAGGTAAATCATGTGGTTTGAGATAAGAACAATTTAATAACTGAAATCTCATCATGATAATCATAATAATCATCAGCAGAGTGAGATTAGGTAGCAGAACCAAAGAGAAACAAAGTGATGCATAATAAGGTTCTTGATACAATTGCTCATTGCCTCCTGCCCATCCCATCCCCAAACAACAATCATCTCCTTCTGGCTAACTCCTGCGGTTTATATACTGGGCATGACATTCCATGGTGTGGAATATCCCTTTGGCCAGTTCAGGCCACCTATCCTGGCCCTGCTCCCTCCCTGCTTTTTGTGCACCTCCTCACTGGCAGAGCACAAGACACTGCAAAGTCCTTGACACAGGGTTAGCACTACTTAGCCAGAGCCAAAATATCAGTGTGTTACCAGTATCATTCTCATACTGAATGCAAAACCACAGCACTATACCAGATACTAAGAAGAAAATTAACTCTGTCCCAGACAAAACCAATTAGGGGAGCATGAAGTTCCTTTTGGCCCTAATTTCAGTTATTACTTTTTCTTCAACTAGCTTGCTTACTGAACAAGTGCAAGACAGCCAAATACAATTTCACTGCAAGCTAGCAGATAAAAGGAAACTGCCTGCTCTCTTACCGAATGCTAAGCATTCATGAAATTCAGTAATTGATGTATCATAGCTCTGCAGATATCTTCATATTTCTACTGTTATATCTAACTTAACAGTGGAAGTCGGTAACAGCCTGAAATACGGTGCAAAGATCACTTGTTATGTTCACACTATGGTCCTGCCCTTATAACCACTGGGCAAAATAGCACCCTTGGGTACCCTGAGCAGGAGATTAAGCAATACTTCAGCTCCAGCAAGCTGAAATTAACCCCCCAGAACTACAGGAGAAACAAAAGGCCACAACACAGACAGATACTTTCTCAAGCAAATTACTGCCACTGCAGTCTAAGTTGCTGCTGCCCTATTTATAATAACAGAGCTACTTGTTTAAGCAAAGGACAAAGGAAGTATTTCCTTCTAATGCTGAGCTTTGCCCTCTGTGTCAGTTTCCAAGTGTTCTTAAAAATACAGCTCTGGTCTCAGACTTCCCCTCTCTGACACCAGATACACTCGCACCTACAGCACATAGACAGGCTTGGTTATTAGGTATTATCATTTATTATTACATTCTTTCCATACCTGACATCTCTCCTGCCAGTATTAGGTCTCTCCTACTTTCATAAGTCTTATCTCACAATAAGAAATCACTTAATTTTGCAAAAGGTGAAATCTTCAATCTTTTTATAAAGAGACTCCACTTCTATTTCTGGAGTCACTAGGCATGTTCTTGTGCCCTCCTGACTTCAGAAGCACTGTTGGCTGCATCCACAGAATTCACTTACCTTTTGTGTCCTGCATCACAATTGAGCTGTACTTCAAGAAGGTTATCAGCAGGTTGCTCGTTTGCACATCAGCATCCAGAGGCAGCTCTGCAGAGCTTATAACTGGAACAAAGCAGATAAGACACATTTATCCTGTACAAATACAAGAAATAACTATACAGAGAACTAAGACACAGACTGACAGGTCTGGGGTAGGATCAACCTATCTGCAGGGCCACCTGACCTCCTCCTCCTTCCTCCATGACCACCCAGGAAAAATTTCGTTATGAAGACTTGTACCACTCCCTCAGAAACCATTTCTCCTGCTCTAAGCACAGACTGTGGTACCTGCAAAGTGATATCCTCCTCTGTCCTGCCCCTGCTCCTCCTCCCAGGGAGATGAGCCCACTGTTTTAGCACTCATCAATATCCCCAGCCCAGGGAAATCGGGATATTTGCCCTGATATCAAATTAATTCTTACAAGCAACACAGATAACAGTCACACAATTCTCATTTTGTAAAAAGATGTGCCCAGGAAAGGCCCTTCTCTGTTTCAGCAATTTTGAAATGTTAGTTCCAAAACGTCTGTGTCAATTCCATTCTTCCCTCTCAACAACAGTTTCTCTTGCAAGAGCAACACACAAGACATAATGTAACAATTATTGCAGGACCAAAGAGATAGAATACGAAGGCAGAAACAGAAGATTTATAAAAATCAAGAAGCAAAAGCAGTCACAGCTTGTGCTAGATACATCTCAACCCAGCAGGAATCAGAAATGTACTTTCCATACCCGCAGCAGCTCATTGGCATTTCTCTAGCACCAGCTGTACTTTTGACACCCTAACAGTGGACATCATCTGCCTGAGACTTTACAAGAAGCTATTTCATCTCCTCAGCTAATTGCACAATGTGCCTCCTCACTCACTCCCCCATTCCCCGTGCACCATCTGAAGCACTGAGTTTATGAGCTGTCAAGCCTCTATCATGTGACTGAGCCACATTTTTACTGATGACTGAGCCTGAGCTGTCCTAAAGGGCCATTCTCTGCCTTTCCACTTGGAAAGCTTTACAAGAAATATTGAAAGGGAGGAGAAAGACCAGTGGGTAACATGCATCATGCATTTACCTGCAGATCCTGCCAGATAAGTCTGATACCATTTAAGATAAAGTAGCTCAGATAAAAAAATCCTCAAACTGATTGAGTTAGCCAAGGAACACTTCAGTAAAGCACTTAATACAGTTATGTATAAAAAAAAAAACTAAAAGTGAAGGAAATAGGTGGGAACCCATAAAGAAATTTAAATTAAATTTCTTTTCTATTTCACATCAAAGACCTGGCAAACAAGATACAATTGGAGAAAATACTGGTGTGAGACAAAATTACTGCTTGAATTCTGCAGACATCATTTTAGAGAATAGTTCTTTTTTTTTTCCCCTGTGTGACCTGGACATAAGAAACAGTTGCTTGATAATGAACTTGCTAATGGCAGAAAGTTGGGATGTGTAAACACAGAGGAGTATCAGACCGCACATAAAGAATGGGATATAAGCAAGAACAGATAATAAACACAAGACAAAAATAAGCAATGCAAGCCATACAGTCAGGAATAAAAAAAAATACCATGATCAGATCACAAGGTGACAAGCTACCAACATGAAGGGCTCAAGAGTGCAGTTCTACAACATATATCCAGAAATGCAGTTCCAGCAGAGACACAAACACTGTAATGCCCTGCACAAGGTGCTGGTGAGACTTTGTCTCAACCACTGCGCATAATTATGGACAAGCTGTGTTCAAAGAGGACAAACTTCAACTTGAACAAGTTTAAAGACAGGCTAGTATGTTGATCACAAGAACAGAGTACCTTTTTTTGTGAGACAGCAAAACACACAGGTAAGTAAACCAACACATGAAGAAGAGCAACCTTTGTTTCAAGGGAGGCCTAACACCATGACAAATGGGTATGAATTGACAAGAAATCCAGGCTGCAAAGTTGAATATTTCTAACCAAGGAACAAGACGCTGAAACTGCCCCCCAACAGAAATTATTGGGAAATAAATTTAAGAGATTGAGTCAGAGCTTGATAAATTCAAGGGATCACATGCTGATATGCCTGCAAGCGCAGGGCACTAGGCTCAAGAGTCAAGGAGACCTTTTCCAGCTCCATGCAACTGTCCTGACATGACAACGACATGACTGTTCTGGCTGCCTAGGGGGTAAAACTCACAGGTTCTCACATTCAGGAGGTCATAGATGGCTTGAATTATGATTGACCAAGGTCTCTCTCTTCTCATGCTGTAAAGACAGCCTAAGACAGGGCTCCTTTTGCACTGGAAACAGATTTGCTATTACACCCATTTAAGTATTATACCATCTCTTCTCTGCCTATCCTCAGGAATGCTCAAGGCTTTCTCACCTTTTAGGAAAGAAAAAGGTATTTATCATGAGATTGGACCTTGTAAGAAATGAGGAATTACATCTGATTATTGGATGACTAGGCTGGGGGTTCTGAGGGGAAACAATTTCATCCTGTACACAAGTGTATTTTGGTTCAGAGATAAGTCTGCTTTAATACAAAACACCTTTCAAAATTCAAGGCTTGTACCCTGTAATGAGGCAAGTAAGGCTTCAACTGGGGCAAGGGCAGGCACAGAAGGATGAAGGAGACAAGCCAAGAGTAAAATGCAGAATCCTTTAAACTGTGCAGTGAGAGGCCCAGAGTACAGCAGAGGTTCTCATGGAACTCAGGATTACACAATCACCTTCAATACAAAACTGCAGCCCTTGGAAACAACAGGTCAAACACATCAATGTAACTTCACTGTTCAAATCACATAAAAAAAAAAAAACCTGGGCTTTTAGGTTATAAAGGTTGCATGTGCCCACCTGTGAGCTGGTTTAGTCCATTCAGTCAAAGACCTGGAGCTCCAGACACATTACTAATGTGCCATGTCTGTTGGCAAAGTCTGTGCAATGAGACTGGAAGCTTTCTCACTCCCAATATTATGAATAGCTCAAAGATTTAGCTAAAAGTCTGAAAAATGTATTTATATCCCCAGTGGATCCTTCTTGAGCTGTTACAATGAACGTAGTGAATGAATATTTAACAACAGTAAGCAAACTGACATTTAGATAACTATGGTGACAGGCACACTTGATTTACATATTATGGATAAACAGTTTCTAGCAAAAGCCTCATTTCTCAAAAAAAAAAAAAGGGAAGAAATCACTCTGAAGCACACATCGCTGCTTATCCTGGTTCATGATACAGACCTTTTTTAACACGCATTTTGAAACTTTACAAGGTCTTAATTTACACTATAGGTTAACAGCCAGAGAAATTTCAAACCAGAACATGAACCCTATTTTTATCCCAGACAGCATAAAACAAAAGCATCTGAAATTCATAGATGGATTTCTACACATTAATGTAACTTCAAAACAGTTCAACTACACATTATTTTAGTGCAGTAAAGAGAAAGCAATCCTATCATTCCACAGCCAAGAAGCCTCTTGCTAACTGGCAGCCAGAGGCAAATTTTACAGCTGAGTTGCAAGACCTTAGTAAATGAGGAAAATTCTGACATCTCTTTAAAACAGCAGTACTCAAGCACCACCAAACTAAACCAAGCCAAGGGCCACAAGAAAAAAAAAAAAATCAAATTGTAGGGATCAACAAGGTGACAGCAGATAAAAATAATGCAAGCTTCCCAATGCAATTGCTGCACATAAAGATCAGATCCTTTTCTTAAATTTAGTAACCATAGAAGCCACAAGAAGCCTCAAACTTCTCAAGATCACTGCCTCTGCTGAAAGCAGGATGGAGGTTTTGTTTTCATTTTGTCTTGTGGTAAATGAAAAAATAAAGAAAAAAAAGTGCAAGCAAGCTGTAGATGTAGGTAAGCACAAATTCTGTCAGTTGTGTAATATGGTGTGGGTGGATACATTTGCAATGAACACATTGAACAGAAGCCCATAAAATGCCCATCCCTCCACATTTTATGTTATATGCACACAAAGACACAGGGGACTCTTTATCTGAAGCTTTTGTTATCCATGGCAACCAGACAGAATCCATCCATGAGGAGGATCATCCTTAACTAGGGTATCAAATGACCTGAATAGCTGATATAACTGAGTAACCCAGGCTGCTTTTCCCCAGAAATATTTCCAAACTGTGCTCTATTCAAATTGACTGTTCCTTCATTAAACACTCTTCAGCTCAGATGCCATTAAAGTACATGAAAACAGCCATTTCATTTCTTCTCTTCAACTAGGCTACATCTATCCATACCTTAAAATGAAAGGGTTTTATTTGAGATGATTTCAAAGCATATTTATGTGGACACATAACATCTCATTTAGAAGAGAGATCTCAGGTTAAGCAGTCCTTTACAAAGCCTATCAAAGAAAAGGCAATAAGAGGGAGGAATACTTCCACACCCAGACTGAATTCAAATCCCAATTAATTCAAAGCTGAGGACAAGTGCATTAATGGCAAGCAGGAATCCACAGCGATCCTCTGTAAATCTGTTCCAATGACAAATAATCCCAGGCAAAGGACCTGACACCAGTAATATTCATAAGTAAAAGCCTACAGAGAATAACTAATGGGCTGGGTGTACTTTCATGCAAATATTGGGGCAGTACTATTTTCAGAAGGAATATCAGCATAATTTCATTGAGCAATACACAAGGCAAAATAAAAATAAATTTGAGTCAGATAATCTTGTCCGTGTTTAGCAGGGCATATTACTCCAGGAAGGGACCACCAAGTTACATCTGCTCCAGACAGACCTCATTAGTTGCAATCTCCAGAAAACAGTTTGCTAGTTATTTAACAGTTTTAAATTATTTTTCCTCAGGAGATCATTGCGTTTTTACCATCTGAAGAAGGCGGGGTGGTTCCAAGTGGAGTGACAGGTGTGGTTGGAACTGGGCTCATTGGTGATGTCATCAGGCCCATTTCAGGATGGCTCTAAAAGAAAACAAATGCACAGGTCAACTGCTTCCCCAGGCACTAGAAACACAGACCACTGCTTGTACTGTTCCACGCTCTTGTACAATAGACATGACTAAAGTCTCAAGAAACTTCAATCTCTTCTCCAAAGGGCCAGGCCATGGTTCCTGACCTTGGATGTCTAACTGTACTCCACAAAACACAAAAACACATCAGAAAATGGTGACTCTCCCCAGCAGACAGAAAAAATCCCCCTCCCTAATGTAGAATGGGAGAAGATTTGCAAAAGCCTACAATGTTAATAGCTTCTGATTCCCACTGAAACAACGCAAGGATGTGCACTTGAAGGCTTTCTCCATGATCCTTTTACTTCTATTTCTAAGAGCAAATTCTCCTTGCTCCTGTCCCCCACCTGTTCATATTCAAAGATAATGGCAATTTATTACTTTCCTGTCTCACTGTAAAGCCCTGCAGGAAAGACACTGCAGGAAAACAGTGCATAACATAAATAATACTATCATTATTGATCCTCTCAGCTTCCATCAGCCAGTTACTCTCCCCATTTCATCTTTGCTAATAGTTGCCTGCCTAATTACTGCTTTGACTTCACTCTTTGCAAGCTTCCAGACCCATCCACACTGGTGAGAGCGTAGGCAATCTGCCATGCTATTTTTGAGTCTGGCTGCCAAGCAAAGTGTCCATTTCATAGGGCAAGTTTTACATAAATGTATCATCTGCCTTAATATATCATCACAATTTCAAAATAAAAGGAAGATACAGAACTGCTGATTTGATGTTAGTTAATTCCATAGGATTTTTCACAAGTGGATATCCTCCATACTGCTTTTGAATATCTCATTTTATGAGCAATATAAATACATATATTTTATGGGAAGCACAGGCACACATACTACAACTCAAAAACAATTTACATCCCTACAGCTACCAACTTACACTTAAAACACCATTTTTTACTGGAAGTCTTACATAAGCCAGATTTCCTTAGACAGGTTTTGGGGGCTTACCTTCTTTCTCCAGAACAGTGACTGGCAGATGAGAGACAAGAGTGCCACCCAGCAGCAAACCCGAGCACCCACAGCTGGTGAGCACACATTTAACACTCCAGATACCCACACAACTGAATCCCTGCTCTCCCCATGAGCCACACAGCAGCAGAAAGCCATTCATGCAGCACCAAGCAATGGACACCAGCTTAGGCAAGAGCATTCATCAGCTTTTATGAAGTTTTTTCAACATGACATGACCTACCTTGCCCTCTCTTAAATGAAGGATTACAGACCATCCACCCAAGAGTATAAGTTCTCCAATTCAACCCACTGATCAGTGGCTGCTTCAACTTCTTTCACAACTAGTCTATCCTTTTATTTTCAAGAGCTTTTACTCTAGCTGATCTTTTTCTGCTCTGCTCTTTCCCCTGCCAAATGCCTCTCTTCCCTGAGGAGTATCTTGCCCACAGAAAGGCCTGAGTTGGTACTACAAAGAACTGAAAGAGCAGAAATCCCTGAGAAGTGGTAGGAATGAATAACCTGGGAAAAGACAAGCTGGGAACTTCAGCAAATTAACCATCCATGAAAAAGAAGCTTTCTTCAGAGGCTGTAGATCTGCTTATCAGACCTCTTCCATCACCACTACTGTCGGGAGCCCCCAAAGGTCTCCTCTGTCATGCCAAGTGTCCAGCCTGCAATCTATGGCTGCACTCTGAGGACCCGAACAAACTGGGGAAAGGTGTTAACTGTTTTGTTGATGTTGTTTTTCTCACAGATTACAAGCAGTACCTACAGACCAAATTAAAAGCCTGAAGGTCTTCCTAAACACGTCAGGCTACCCTTTCAGCACAATCACTGCATCAGACAGGCTCATTATCTGCCTCCCAGCACCAACCACCTCTCCAAACTCACACAGCATTTAGAAAAGCTTCCAGAGACCTGTGCTCAGAGCAGCCTCTCAGAAGGCTGTTTCTCCCCCATAAAAATCCCAAGAACAAATGCTATGCTCCAACAACGGGTTCCCATGCCAAAGGGGTTGAGCTCTTCAAGGAAGTCTGAACACAAAATAGTATTTGAAACAACAACTGTCACATGTCAATTGGTCCCTAAGTGAAGAAAACCCAACAGACAACACGCAGTCCATGCACACACATACAGGACAATCCACCTAGTTTGGGAGCTGGATCAGCCTCTTTCTCTCAACCCTAACAAAACTGTGATTTGCTCTGAGAGCTACAGCAACTGCTTTGCTCACTACATCCTTCCCCTAAGTAGACTACCAATAGGGCACACAAGGCACTTCATGCAGCCCTTCCCATTTAGTGGCAAAAATTAATCATTCCAACATGAACTGTGACCTCAAAACTCTACTCATTTACTGTCAAGACAGGAAATATATCATAAAAATTCTTCCCCTGGTCCTGGCCTGCTTCTGCTCTTTCATGCTGATCCTATGATAAGTACATAAGGGGGGAAAAAAAAGAAACTATCTTTTCACCAATTCCATTTCTGGCTCTCTGATTTCAAAGACATCCACTACAAAGAAATGGGGAAACATTCCACTGAAACTCACTTGTGCCAGAACTGTGATGAAATTCCTGTTTAAGTGAACAGCTTCATAGAGGGCCAGAAGGATTGCTTCATTTGTTCTGTGGGAAGGATGCAGACAAAGGCACGGTTAGTGATCAGAATACCAGCAGCCAAGTTCTTCAGAAGCATAGCCTATCTGAAAAAAGAATTTTTTTTTCAACTATGGAAAACTCTGCCTCTGTAGTCCAGTTGTTCTTCCAACTATTAGTAGTACTAATTACAGTACTAGTAGCAGCAATCCACAAAAATACAGCACATCTACAAGTTTTGTTGCTTTCCCACTGAAGGTGTCCCTAGTTACTGTTTTCCACTTAAAGCCCTCTCTTTTAAGAGCAGACGGTCCTAAAAACACTAAAATCTCTTACATTTATCACTTGCCCCATTAATTTAGAAAATATTTTGGTGAGGGCCAGAGTGCACAACCTTTGCTTCTCATGTGCCACCCCTAACACACCTATTATATTTCATAAACACCTCATAAAAACCACTGGAGTTTTTTTTATAGACTTCATTACAAGCAATTCAGCTGTGTCTCCTCCTGCTGCACTCTCCTCACGGAAGGGCAAATCACAGTTTGCAGGGTGTGGTCCCATTTCAGTGACAGGAGAACCTGCTCCTCTAGTTTGCTTTGTGACATTAAACAGCTGCATGATGGAAGGGATGGCACCGACCACTCCACTGTGTAAATAACAGCTGTGCACTTACTGGACAGAGATCTTCTCATCAGCATCTGCTATGAACATGCTGCCCACCTATGGAAAGAGAGAGCATTGCACAGCAGGAATTTGGGAAAGCTATTAGACAGCAAGAGACAACACATGGATAAAAACACATTTTATTTTGCTGTACTGTCACTGACCAAATGCTTCACCTGTCAAATCATTAAAAAGGGACAAAAAAAAATACTGAATCTTGAATCCCAGCCTGGATTAGTTTGCCATTTTTTAAGAGTACAACAGAGATTATTTCCTATCTGCTTGCCCCAGGGTGGCCACAGTTTTACCCAAGTCACTCCTACAGAAAGCTGTCTACACTGAACTACCCTTACCTACAGGAAATTTTTCTGTCAGTTAGATTTCAGATTAGTATGAAATCTCTGACTAAAGCAAAGCCAAACTGAACAAGAGGAACAGTGAATACTCTTTACAAGGAAGAAATTGACAACTGTTTTTGAAGGGTATCCCTTCAAAAATGCAGACAGTGCCCACTGCAGAATCCAAGATTTACTTCATAGCTAAAGTGCATCCAAGCTTGAGAAACAAAACAGTACAGAAACAGAACCTCAAAGACTAGTGACATTCCAGACTATGTGCCACTATGTTTTAGGCCACATCACCAAGTAGTAGCTAGTTTTTAAAAATACATAGCTGCCTAAAAGGATTAAGAAGTTAAAAAATTATTACAAGTTTAAAGTAAGGTGATTTTTAAAATAAAGTCAGCTGGAGTGAAGAAGATGCAGGAAAAGAATTTCAGCTATCAACACAAGAGTAGAGGTCTCGTCCTTTGAAAGAGCTTTCCCAGCCAGACAACACACTCCTCAGAATACAACCATTTCAGTTGTATTTAGTTTTGATTCATTCAATCCATCTCTATCTCCAGACCTCACATTCCAAACTCACACTTTTTAGAAACACTCTCCTCCTGAACTTGCATGAATGCACCTTTTTGAGAATGGAAAAACATGTTTCCATGCTTACCATGTTAGTTAGGGCTGAGAAGAAACCAGTCTGATGCTCCTCTTCTTTATCTTTGTATTGCCTGAACAAAAAGGAATAAGCATGAAGTTTCAGGGCTAGAAATGGAACCAGGGTTACTTCACCTAAATCCCTATGTCTTAGTCCTATTTGACAAGAATATAGGATGGAGGAAACTTCAACATTCAACAGCCTTTTTCAAGGACTCACAAAAGAAGAGATAAAGGGTACTAAAATATTTGTAAATTGTGTAGAGTTGAAGTGCAACTGCAGGAAGATGTGAAACTTGAACAACGCTTGTGCTGTTGCAGAGGACAAGCAGTTTGGGCTAACTCTGAAGGAAAGGGATCAAGTGACTTCACAAATTTTGTCCTGCACTGGACAAATGGTAATAAGCCACATGAGCACACAGAACATTTTCATTTCATCATCCACTAGAGAAAAAATCAGAGTTGGTCATCCAACTGTGTACAGAAAGAAATCAGAAATGGCCAGCAGAAACCACATGGACCTTTATGGTTCATGGCCTGATCCCATTTTCCTGGAGCAAGTGAAGAGACTGGAACTAGAGCAAGTGAAGTCAACAAACAGTTGGGTACTTCAGATTTAAGCTACACTGCTTCCTCGGGCACTCAAAGGGACTAGCAAAGCCCACACGGCCATTTATTTTGTCTGTCACACAGGAATCTGATCACACACAGTGTAACATGTCAAGAAACCAACTTCAAATTCTTGGGAAAGGGGGAAGAAATGAGCTAAGAAAACCAGTACATGATCTGAGACAGCTTTTGTCAGAATGAAGGAAATTGGGTGGGTGAAGTTTTTTTCTGCTTTACCCTAATCACTTACTCTGTTAAATACATCTACATGATTTGCTGATTTTGCAAGTCACCTGCATAACTATCACAGTAGGCTTTCAAATGAATAAAAACATTTTTCTGGATATTTTGAGAGCCCTACTGCACAAAAAAAAATTGAGTTTCCTAGGTGAAATTGCTGTAAGTTTCCAAATTTTTCTAAAGCACTTTCCTCTTAGGAAAGCTTGCATGTTTTATGGTGCTACTTATGAAGTAGAGGCTAAGAATATGCTGCCTTTCTGCTGACTTTCTGGCTCTTTCTTCAGCAGTAGTTACTGCTTTCCACCATTTGGAAGAGTTTACATCTCCTAATCATCTCTGATCTGGTATGCAGACAGCCCTGGATACATTTGTTTGTTTGTTGTAGATAGTGTTTCAGCTAAATCAATTTTTCAATAGAGAAGTTGTCAGCAAATTATTATCTTTTCACTTGTGACTAAGATTTTACACAAAGTTCACACAGAGGTAAAATCCATGACAATAAAAACATACAATGGATATCTTCCCCTACAGCAAGATCTCTCCTGAAGCATGTCAGCCCAGCTGGTACAGATGCACTGAGACTTGCAATGACTGCATCAACTGAAGCCAAGTACTTCAAAGCATAAGACTATTCCCTGCCTCTCCAGGTGCATCAAGGCTGTCAGGTGATAAAGAAGTGCTTTAACACAGAAAGAAAATAAAGTTCGTGAAAATGTACAGTAACTATCATGTATTGAAAAACAAGACACAATTTGGTTTTACCTGTTATATTCTGATAAAGCCTGGCCAATTACAAGTCCCATTCCCTGAAAAAAAGTGTTTAAAAAAAAACTCCACATTAAAATCTCAAGGGAAAAAAATCACACATTGAACACACATAGCAATGCTTCCCTCCCAAGATAACCTAGCATGCTATGCAGAATTTCTCTTGAAGCTGTTTGAACTATTAAGATGTGCTATGATACAACAACACTATAACACAAAAACCCAGACAATAAAATTGAAAGTTATTTACTAATTACTAAGTTAAACAGAAAACATTTACTCTCCTCGGACCGCCCGACAGAGCTCTCACTCAAGAAGCCTCAGTAAAGCATCAAGCAATTTAGAAAGAAGTTGGTGTCAGAGGAAGGATATCCAAAAATTTAAAACAAAGAGTCATAGACACAAATAGCCTTTGACTGCTTGCAAACAGCCACCACCTTTACACAACTACTAACAGTTCTCACCCTTTATTTACATTTACATGGAGCTTGCTTTCTGCTTCATGCCTAAAGAGCAGCTCCCAAGCCCAGAACTCACATAACTCAGTCTGCTGTCAATTTTAATACAGGCCTGGATAAAAAACTCAGACTGTAGCTACAATCCAAAACATATTGCAGGACTCTTGACTCAGATACAGGCTTCCACTGAGCTACAAGAATTGCCTTGTGGACTGGTAAAATCAAGTGACACAGCACCAGAAATGAGATTCCCTTTGGCATAAATCATCCTGTCCTCTTTGGCACATGACAGCAAACAGTGTACAGATAGTTCATGAATGCATAATAGATCAACTGTAGCATGTTTCTTGCTACCTAGCTTTTTAACCACCCCCACCATTTAACTGGTGATCAAACTGCTCAAATCATGAGCTGCCTAACCTATTGCAAGAGCACTTTGCAATTCAGTCAGGGCTGAACAATCACTGCACTGCTGCTCCTTCGAGCAGCACTGTTCTGAGACCTGATTTCTACCATACACCACGCTGGCATCCATTAGCCTACACTTCATGTGAAAGAGCATCTCCAGCAGCATAGAGAAATCAAGCCAAGTACTCACATTGAGTGTGGCCTCATCATCCACAATGGACAGCTTCACAATGTAGGGATTCACTGACTGCTCAAGGTGGGGCGACAAAGAACAAAGGAAAATGGTTTTAAGTTCAGCCTTCAGAGGAAAAAAAACACTATTATGTTTCCAAGTTTACACAACCACCTGGGAAGAATCTCCGTCACACTGCCCCATAAAACAGAATACACACAAATAAGCAGAGTCACAGCACATGGTAAGACCACTAGGCCAGGGACATGTTCCCCTTATTGGCTCAGCCAGGCACTCTCCTGATTTTGAGAAGAGGAGGGAGTTTCCATCCCTCCACCAGCTCATCTGCCAGTCTGGAAAGTGGAGCAGCCATCCTGCAAGCCTGTTATCTGTGACACACAGAGTTTTGCAGCAGGAACAGGCAGTGAAGCTGGATGCAGCATTAGTGCTCTGCTCTCTCCCTTCTGCAACACCCTGTAAAGATTGCTTAAAGCAGCACCCAGGAAGGCAGGACAACATTCCAGACCCATCTGCTGCTGGGTTAGAGAGCAACACTTCGTTTGCACACTAAGAGCTGGAAATCTATAGAGAAGATAAATGCCTTGAATTTAGCTGAAGAAAGCACACAGGCTTCATCTATAAAGACAAATGCTAATAATTTCAGAAGCATTTCAGATTAGCAAATGCACATTTTTCCTGGTTTATATGTGTCAGTGCAAAACTAAAAAAGCTGATTTTGAATGAAGACACAGAAGAAAAGTCTCATCTGCAGGCAGGTCATTTTGCAGGGAATTGGAGCCTGAATAACTACTTTTCTGTTAAAGAGAATATTTTTAAAAATCATTTGAGTTATACAAGATCTTTGGAAAAAAAAGAAAAAAGAAAAACACATGAACTTTCTGATTCTCCAAAGCTGTGTCTTTCAGCACCCATGGTTGTCTATACCAAGGAGAGGCAAGTGCACAAAACTGGACAGGAAGTGTTGTTGGATACACTATATGCAGCCAGACAAGCACACAAAGGGAAAACCCCATATTTTAAATTATTTCTTACAGTTCTGTCTAACAAAAGCCACAATGTAATTCTAGCACGTTGAATATGATTCAAACAAACTTCTGCCTAGTTGTTATCAATGAGCATGTATTCAAAAGTGACTATTTGATTTTATGTTTTAACTTCCTATCCTATCAGCCACCCCTTAAAACGCTGGCAAATTGATCAAATAATTACTTTTTCTCGCAGCATTTTCTTTCTCACAGTATCCATGTAAAAGCATTTTCTCCAAAATCAGGACTAGTATTAAAAAAAAAAATATATATATAGCTGAATCCTTGGATAAGTATATAGTTGGAACAACTTGTGAAAATTATTAGGATTTCAATCAGAGGCATCCCTTTAAAGGTTACAAGTAAAGAAATGTAAATTCCTAGAACAGGAGTTAATAAGCAAGATCTCATCAACACAGGTAATGGAGAGATACTCTCCAAGGAATTTGAGAGATTACAAAATTCACATCCCAAAAATACAAAAGAACATCCTAATGTAAAACACACTGGTATTTACACTAAAAATAGACACAAATCATAGTCAGCTAATGAATTTTGAGCCTTATTAGATTTTCTTAAACAGCTGGAAACACAACTTAACCAATGGAGTTCAGACCAAAAGAGAACCTTTCAGCTGCACCACAGTTGAAAAAGAGAACTCCAGAGCACCTGAGGCATGAAAGTGTGCTACAATTCACTGACAACCAGACAACCACCATACTGACCCTAAGGGCCAAAGAACAGCAAATGAAAGCAGCTACTCAAGGACAAAGATTACGGCTGCATCACTAGAGGCTTGGCTTGTAGCACTGCTACAAAGGGCAGTGTTGGGCAGTTGTCACATAAAACCCTCCTGGGTGTAGCTTTCAGCCTTGCCAGAGGAGCTGCTTGGGCTGAAGTTCCTCTTGCTACATGTCTGCTTCAGTTGGATTGTACGGACTGCACTTTTCAAACATCAGCACAACTTCCTTAACAGTGCCCAGTTTCAAGACGTCTCAGAGTGTTCTCACCCAACTTCCTTAACAGTGCCCAGTTTCAAGTGTTCTCCACAGCACTCAAGTCCAGCTCAATACTCCCCAGAAATCCAAGGACAAGTCTCCTGCACTCACAGCATTCTACCTAAGGACATAAACTGCAGTCCACAGGGATCCATGCCTCCGGGATGGGATCACACAGCTCTCCATCATCTGTCTGAATGTTGCAATGCCACCTTTGGTCTTCCCAGTCCACCCTCATAAGTAACCCCACTTACAGACAGTTCCCAACAGTTTTCCTTCATAGCCATATACTGAAATCAGACTCCATGTTCCTGTCCCATGCTACCACAGCACAGAATGCTGAAGAGAATCTGCAATTCATGATTCTGACATCATTGACAGGAATGAGAAATTGACAGGCATTACTTTGACACCAAGTGTAGTTCTTGTCCTTGCATATTCTCTAGGTCTATTCATAATTCAGAACAAGATCTATTATAAAACCAGGTAGGTTTTGAAGCCTGCTCCCTCCCAGTAATTCTGTTGAAAGGCAGGTTATTCCAGAACCTTCCTATTTGGTGCCTAATAAAGTATATTAAGATATTCCTATTTATGAAGAAAAAAACCCTGATCATTAAAGCATCATGCCTCATACAAAAAAAAAGCCAACATTAGGTGTTGTTCTGACATTTGAAATGGGGCTTTTTTCCAAGCTGATGAATAACAGAAATGAACAGAAAAAAATGGGAATATACCATAAACACAAAAAGAATGATGAATAAAGTTCCTCACAGAGGAATCCATCAAAGAGCGAGAGAGAGACTTCTCTTGGAACTACTAGCTGTGATGTTTCAGTTCATTCTTTGGTCACAGCTCCACCATCTCTTCTGGGGATCTGTGCTCTTTCAGTCAGCTACTCAGATCCTGAATCACAAATTCAGTCTGAAGCCCAGGATGACTGACAGCTCATTTCACTTTGGAGATTATGTATAGCCACACAGTCACACACAAACTGAGGCAGACATGTGGTTTGGCACAACAGCAACTCTTCCAAAAGGACCTTCCTCAGACTATTTCCACAAAGGAAATACAAATTCCCTAGGTAGTTTCTTTCATGCTGGCACAGAAGGAGCTGTAGGAGTATCACACACATTTGATTGTACACAATCATCAGAGACAGACACAGGGAGCATAACCAGGGCTGCCTTGCAAAGCTTCTCCTGCTCCACGCTGATGCCCTGATGCTACAGTGTGCACTGCTCAGAACTGCACTGTGTGCTGCCTTCATAATCCAGAGGCCACCCTAAATTAATAAAGTAGAGAGAAGTGATGTTTCCACACCTACCTCATACTTTCTGTAGTTGACCAGCAAGGCCAGAAGGACAACAGCATCATACCCATGTTCCCTGCGACTAAGAGGGCTGGACAGGATCTGGAATAAACAATCACACTGTTCTGTTAGGCCTCCTTCAGGAAGCTTGCAGTGACTCAGAGCATAGCCATGAAATGTATGTGTAAGAGCAAATTATGTCCTATCTGAAAGAGGATATTTAGGGTGAAGGGAGTGTCACTACCTCAAGGAAGTTCTGCACACAGAGAAGCTTATTTATCACAGAAAGGATGCACACAGGCTTTCAGGGCATAAAGGGAAAATATATTGCACAATAGCACTGTATAGTATCTTATCATAAACTGTGCAAGTGTCCTGGTTTTCTCCAAGGCTCAGTTCCACTGAAAAAAGTATAATTTATCCAAGAGCAGAAAAAAATATATCCACACTACCTTCTGAAAAAGTTTCTCCAGTAAAGAAATTCTGTGTGAAAATAGCCCAGAAATCTGTTCAGATTCTAACTGTGCAGAAATGTCTCAAGTGAAAATACTTTAAATAGTCAGTAGCGACTAAACACAGCAGACTAGAGTAAAGGGGAGGGAACATTACAAAATATATGCATGACTGAGCTATGAATGAAGTAACAACAGTGCCAGTGAACTACATTGCATTGAAAAAGCTGAAAAGCAAACACACTACTGGAAGTTCTCACTACGGAAGAGTCCCCACAGCGGAAGGAAGAACCCTTACCTGTAAAATAGCTTCAAATATGCTGTTAATCATCACATACTCCAGGATGGTGTTCTGGCTAATGTTATCTGTCACCTGAGTACAAACACAAGTTTAAAAGCTCATCCAAAAGCTCCACCAATGCTGTAGCTGCCTCTGGCACACATTGGGAACAGAAGAGTTCTGCTTCCAGATGGACACATTTATCCAGAATCTCACACTTTGCAAGTCAAGGTGTGACTAGCAATAGAGCTAAACATGAAGTAAAAGAAATCTGTCCTGACTGCCAGCCCTTCCTCTGCCAGGAAACACCACCCACGGACTAAGAGCTCCCCCATTCCTCCACACGTCGGTATTTTACACAGCTGCCTGAATGACAGCAGCCATCAGCTGTTGCAGGCTCTACAAGGAGGCAGAAAATGAAAAACAGGGCATATATGCTTCACTGAGAACATTCCCATCATGAAGAGGGCAATGAAGAGTTCCACCACTCTCAATTATCTCTTATCACAGTCAAAACAGTTCACAGTTGACCATCTCCAAAAGCTGATGAGTGGTAATTTATTACAACTTCCTTGTTCTTCACATCCTCACCACTCTGGTCTACTCCACACTTTCTGTCTTCCCTCAACCCTTCTCCCTTCCTTTCCATTTATCTGGGACTTCTTTGGTATCTTTTTCCTTCAAAAAAACCCACAGCTGTGAATCCAACTGATACGTCCTCCTGCCTCTCCCCTTTAGCCCCAGTTGGCACCTATCCTACAGGACAAAAAGTACTAGTCTGCGCTGGCATCACCGTTGGAGTCATCGTGCATATTCTGCACTGACGCGGGCTCTCATTCACCATTTCTTTCCCCTTCTTAAGCTTCATGCTGCAGCACTCTGCTCAAGTTTTGAAACAGTTCCATCCCTCAGATGTGGCTCATATAAGCCCTTAAGATATTATACAGCTGTTAATTACTTACTGTCACCAAGCAGAGAAGTAGCTTCAGACACAAGCTTTTGAGGCTTTCAGAACCTTCTGCACAGAGGAGGGAGTCCAAGCTCTCCATCAGATTCTAAAGAACAACAGTCACATTATTGAAAAGTAGTCTTTTAAATTACTTGAAATGTTTTGATATAAAGCCTTCTGGAAGATTCAAGTAGCAGAGCACCAATATAAAGCCATGTTATTCCAGAATCAATAACAGAGCCATTACTACTGCTACACAGGCCATATTCATACTATTGCTTTTCAACACTATTTGTGTTAACTAAGCTTAATGACTACTGGTAGAACATTATTATCATTTTCCATGAGTTTTCTCTAGATGCAGCAGCACAGCTCCAATTAACAATACATATATAAGTTATGATTAAAAATCTGATAGGCAAACTACAACTTAATGTTTTCCTCAAATATACTACAGATTGTATAGAGAAGAAAAACTGCTACTCTTGTAGAGAGATGAAAGATACAACAAGAATTCAGCTTTATCACTGGTTACTTTGTCATTTCCCAAACTCAACAGAACATCAAGTAAGTTTAAAACAGTACATGTGCTGATGGAGTGTGAGAACCCAGAGTACGACTCTGAGATAAAGAAAAAGATGTGAGGTTCAATACTAGGTGGTGATCACCCGTGACAGCCTTTTCTGGCTTTAAGGTTTCTCAACAACAGTGACTACACAGAGTGGAACTAAAGAAAAAGAACGTGCTCTGTTATATTACTAACCAACCCAGGGACCCCAAATGTCTGTGCTACTGGCAGGTACAGAACTTCAGGATAGCTATTTTTAGTAAGTGGCTCAAATATTTCCCCCAAAAGCTGCTGCCTGGTAGACACACCCATGTACACTCACTGCCCTTGCAACACAGCTGCTGTGCAAACTGCTTCTCTGCACTGCCAGGGCCTCACCTTCATACACAGCTCTGCCTTGTCAAAACCCACCAGCATGTTGATGATGTCAAACCCAGAAGTGGATTTGTTCTTCTGATGGACGCCCCGAATCAATGCACACAAAGTCTGCAAAGGGAAAAACCAGAAGGTAAGATGTAAGGCAACACCTCCAACTCAACAGCAAAACCCACTGCATGATCCCCTCCTAGCACGGGCAGATCCTGAAATTAATACCACCAGCCTGGAGGCCATACATTTTGTCTGACCTCTCCTCCAGCTCTGGCATTTCCAAAAGGGATCTTGGATGCAGAAAATTCATAAAAATTGGAGAAGAATATATTTGTCCATATTTTTCTTGTTTGAGCACAAATTTCTGTTTGGTTACCACATTGCTATACCAATTTGGACCAATAAACTGTATCTTTGTCAACAAGAAGAACCAATCTTCCCACCAAAAAAAAAAGGCTCCAAGTCTATCAGGCAGCTTAATTACTGCTTCATTCCAAGTTCTTGAAGATACACAGGTATCAGCACACTATGCTTCCAGCAGACTCTCTGGAAAATGTATGGGCAGCAAATTACTCATTTGTCCTAAGAGACAGAAATGTCTGGGGTGACTTTTGTCATCAGGCATTTCTCAGTCCTGTGAAGAGGGGAATGAGCAGGAATACAACCACCGCACTGTTAGATTCCAGCTTAAATTCACCAGTTGGAGGTAACTAGTTTCACGTGTAAAGCTGGAGACAAAACAGACCTGATGGAATTAGCAGACCTCTAGAACCTCACAAAAGCAAAAATGTAAGGTAGTCATCCTTTTTTTGGTTACTGTCAGAAACAGATACTGGGCTAAACACACCTTTGGTCATCCTGCTGATTCTCAAAAAAAGATTGCTTAAATAAGTTTTGGCTTCAGGATTTCCACATTAACATAGTCTGATTAAGGGAACACTCTCCCAATTTGAGCTCAGGATGTGTTACCTGGTTCCTATTTACATGCACACAGCAGGATTCTTGTGACCTGCCCTAAGTTCTTCCAGGAGTCTGCATACAAGTTTAAGAATTCGGGGCTGGTCTAAGCTGTCTATGTAGCTATAACTACAATTTTAGTAGCACACTTTCAAGCTAATTCCAAAAATAACAATAAAACAATGCAACATTGTACAGAGATGTAATATTCTGTTTCAAATCAACTTTTCCCAATCCAAAGTCTCCTACAGATGACTTCTTCAAACCTGAATTTCATATCATGTACTCCTACAGCTGAAATGCATTCTGCATACTCCTCAAACAAATGCATTCACCAAACTGTGAGAATCAGCTTGTGAACTAGTAACATCAAATATCAAAACTGAGGAGGGGAGTCTCCCACAGAGATACAGATACAGAACAGCAGAGCTTTGGTAAGGAACAACCTGAACAAAAATGGCTATGAATTCTGAGTGATAATTCTTCACAGCTTCCAATTAGGAAGTGTCCAGCTGAGGCAATTTCCTGCATAAATTTCACACTAACTTCTCCAGAGCTTTATTTCTTTTTTGACCCACAAGGAAATTGAAAAAGGCAGCTGAAATAAGGGAGAAGAGGTGAAAGTAAAACACAAAGCTACACAGCCTAAGTACTTTTGAGACCCAAACCAACAGCCTGCAATGTGAACAAGCCCCTTCGATTGCCCACTGCCATCCACTTCATCCTCCATCATCAGATCCTCTTGATTTCTGAGACCCTCTCAAAATTGCTGTGCCAAGAGTAAAGAGACTATGAATGTTTGGAACCTCCACAGACAACAAGTAGCAACTGCCCTGCAGACATCACTTCTCAGTAACAAAGAAACAAGCCCAAGGTGATTGATACCAGCAACAAATACATGGCCTCCTCAGAAGCAGAAGGACAGCGTTCCCTCTCCCAGCGTGGTACCTGTAATGCATTCACCACTCTGATTGGGTGCTCCTCACCCAGGGCCTGGATGCAGTGCTGAAACAAGCAGTTGATGTTATCTTTTATCTTCATTAATTCTTCCCCATCCAGAGCCTCCAGCTTGCCTTCTAGATACTCCAGGTTGACCTGTCAGGTTAAGAAGCAGTTCATGCACATTATACCATCACCAACACCTTCGAAACAGAAGTCCTTGCACGGACAGTCTGCCACTTTGTAGGCAGAACAGCAACAAGATGTTCACATTCTGTTACCTTCATGAGAAACAGCTCCTCCCAAAACCTAGGGTTGCATTTACTGGGGTCCTCTGTCTGTAAGGAAAAGAAAAAGGCATGAGGGCAAAGAACTCATTCAGGCAGAATTTAAAGAAAGTCTTTATCATGGGTAGCTCAGAGTCAGCATCACCTGCCAGATGACCAAGAGGTCTCAAAGTGCAGAATTCCGGCTACAGAGATTCCCAAAAAAAAGAAGGCCCAAGAGAAGCAGCTCTCAATTGGGATGCCTCTGTTTATTTTCTGAATTGTTATTTGAGAAATACTGGGAAAGCCATGACTTCCCATAGATGGTATGGTTCTGGTAGGCAACAGGACATGGAGACATTTTGGAAGAGAGCAGAAAACAGAGTTCTGCAGGACAACAGGAGAGCCTGGAGCATGTGCCTACACTGTGCAGGCCTTACCTTGAGGAAAGAAATCCACTGGAAAAAAACCTTCGGCATAAATTAACCAAGAAAATTTAACACAACACTTTAGAAAAAAGAGATGCTCAACTGCTTACCGTAAAAATTTCATCATACATCAACACCACTTTCTCTTTCAATGGCTTCTTGGAGGCTGAAGATTTCCGGAGCAGCCCACCTTTCTTCTCTGTTTGGGCCATGCTGGACACCCTGAAGGTAAGAACAGACAAAAGAGCTCAGAAAACTTGAACTTTTCTTCAAGGCATATCTGGCCTGCCTCAACCATGAAAGATTTTTTTCACTGTGCTGAAATACTAACAGTCTTTCACAAGCTGTAAGTAGGGGCATTTATAACTATACCAGATAAGAAATCAGATCAAAGGACCCATCCAGTTCTACGTCCCATTTCAAAGACATGCAGAAGTCCACACACAGGCAGAAACAGAATAAGCTCCTTATGGATAAATTTTGATTCTTCTCTATTAGAAACTGATTCATTATCCAGATCAATGCAGTTTACATTTAGAAAAGTATGTATTTTTTTAATCTCACTGGAGGAATTTTGGTACTTGATATCAAATAGGTACCCAGTCTTTTTTGATGCTGGTCAAGCCTCAAAGGCATCTGGTGACAAGAAGCTCCTGAAACTATTTGAAAGTCTTCTCTTTTCTGTTTAATTTGCTGCCTACCAAAGCACTTCAAATTCTGCTTTTTGTACTCTGAAGTGGCATCCAACACAGGGAAGACCTCCATAAAGCACTCCTGCCACCCTTGTTCACACCTACCTCTGCACCTTAGCATCCTTGTCTGGGCCAGCTGCTCTGCAAATTAAGCCAGATAGGAACCCCAACCTCAAAAGCATCCCATGTAGTTCAGTTTTGGGAGGAGGATGCAAGACAGAGGACAAGCTTCAGAGGGATTTTTTTTTAAACCAAATTAATTTCATGATCCATTTGACAGCAAAGGGTTTTCTAAAACCACAAAGAAGTTTTACTATCATTAATTGGTGTCTTGCTGATTATACTATTAAACAAAAAAAAAAAGAAAGAATATCCTTATTACAAAATGAGCTATTACAAAAAGTAATGTGGTCCTGAGCCTTCTGTGAGAGACAACCCATTCCAGGGGCTGAGTCAGAACACACAACTTGCCACATATTCTCAACCTCATGTGTGATGCTACCGAGTGCAGCAGTACTCTGACCTCGCAAATACACATTTTTCTGCAATCACAGATTTTCCTGGCAAGCATCACAGCTTTAGCACTGTTCTAACCTCCTCCATCACTGCAGCATGTCAGAAGTACAGAGCAGAAAGGGAATGCCATCCCTTCTCATATCCCTGAGCTCCCAGACTTCCTCCCATACCTCCAAAGGTAATTATGCACATGGCAACAGCATCCCACACACAGAGCCTTGACTAAAGTCATGCTCCAGGAAAGCACGGGCAGGCTCTTGTGGTAGCTGCACTCAGCCATGATAAACTATGCACAGAGGGGTAAGTTCACCGTTCCAATCAAGGACCCCAGAGCTTTCTGAGCTGGCAGCTATGGAGATAGTTCTGGATGTAGCCTCAATCCCAGACTGCCTGAACCCCCTCCTACAGGTTTAGACCTGTCTTTCCCTCAAAGACCAAGTTCCATCAACTACTGAATACCAGTTCCATATCTCCCTTACATTCTTTCCACTGCAGACAATTTTGTAGCTGACTTATAACTATGCTCTCAACTAGAACTCTCAGACTTCCAGAGTTAGTTATTCAAGTATCCATCCCTTTAGCCATAAATCTTGGTTCTAAGAGGCAGAAAAACATTTTCAGTCCTGGAAAAACAATTCTGCTGCAAAAGACCCTGCCCCAGGTGCAAAGGGAAGGAGCTTTGCCAGGATGGGAAAGGGTAGGAGAGAGAGCAGCAGATCTCACACCTGAAAAGCTAACATTTACACAGGCAGAAAGGTGTGGTTTTCCCACTAGAAAAGGAACCAGCTGCCTGGTTATGGGCTGAGGTGAGAATGGAAAGAGTCCTGAGACACCCTGCCAGAAGAAAGTTTAGCAACGACTACACCATAACCTTCTGTAAAAACCAAAATTATTCCCACAACCTAGTAGGTCTATGCATCCAACTAAGACGGAAGAAAGTTTCCAACTAACAAACAAAAAAAGAAAACATTCAATCATCTTGATAGCTTCTCTCTTGCCGACTTTGCATTATTTTTAAACTGTCGAGGGAAATAAGACATAATTCTAATTAGAAACACAACTGGAAACACTGAGAAATCTATTAAAAACCAAATCAAGAGTGATGTCACTTTTAGCCTAGGAACACAAATCTTGGGTAAGATTGCACAAAACAATTTTCCTAGTACAGTTGTAAGTTTCTGAACCTAAAACAGCTGCCAGCCCCAGCATACAAACACATCCATCAGTGTGGTTCTAATTGAATTACAGCTAACGAATCCCCATGTCAAAACTAATAAACTAACTCTCGGTGCTTCTAGGTCAGCATTCTCACATCAAATGTGTACGTGAATGGGAGGGGATCAATAAGCTCTACTTAGTCCCTGGATTTTCAGAGCTGTATTTTAACCCTTCTCTACATTTCCGGAAAGATGGAAAAATCGAAATACATCAAGATATAAAGAATGAGCACCAGAAGGATCACATGATCATGTGAAAATTCTAGTCTCTGTCAAAATGGGTCTTAGGATTCACATTCTCTCAACCAAAGATGCACAGAGCACATACAAAGACAACTGCTAGAGGCAAGGATTAAATAATGTTCTTGTTTATAATTTGCTATTCTACAAATGAGCATATGGAGGAGCAAAGAGAAAAACATAAACCATGCCTCTCATGCCAACGCTTTATTAGGCTGTGTTTGTTTCATGACCTATGATAATCAGGTCACACAAATGGTTTTTTCTTTTCACTTTATGCAATTACATTTTCTAGATGTCAAAAAGACAAACAGAAAACTGTGTTTTGCTAATGGAGACCTTCTACACAGCTGCAGAAAACAACAGTTAAATGCACAAAACATTTATAAATAAGTTGCAGAGGTGTCAAATTGTCGTGATGCCCTGACAGCTTATGAAAACAACAAAACTAATGATAATTAACAATTTTCCTTTAAACACCACATTTAAAAGGCATCGGTGCATTTTCCACATTTTAGGTTCAAATGGATAATTTATTCTGTCAATAGGTCATTCCCATTAACACATGCTGCTAAGTGAATCCTGCTGTATTCACTGACTGCACAGGAGAACTGCCCCTCAGGGCCACAAGAAGCACACACATGGGGATTTTTAGAACAACAAATACTTTGCTGTGCAGCAGAAGATCCAAGATGCTTCATCTGGAACTAAAAAGAAAACTTGACAGAGCACAAGTTTTGGCATCTCAAAGGCAGGAAGATAAAAGCCATGGCAGACACGAGTTCAGGCAGACTCTTGCTTTATCTCTCATCAACCCCAGGATCAGCTGATCCAGTCAGGAAGAGATGAGCACATCCAACCATGCACCTCCTTTCTGTTTCACTCCAGAACTCATAACAGAGATTCCAACCAAACATATGACATTCCAATGAACACAGCTCTGTTAGCTTTTTGTTAGAGTAGCCACAGGGAAAATGAACCTGGTATTTTGAGTTTGAGATTTACTCAGACTTGTGCACACTGAGAAATGCTACACAATGCTCCACATTGTCACTCAGCTCCTGTACAGACTTTTTAGTATTCCACAGACTGTCTTTTAACAGCAAAATACTGTCAAGAGGATAACACTAATGCACATCTACACCATAATGACATCAGGATCCAAAACTTGTAACTTGTGTAATCTTCCATGCAGCCCATCAAGAACAGCACTTTGCATTCAATTGCCTTGGCTAACAAAGTTTTCAAGATTATAAATGCACATACACAACCCCTACATGCAACCAAACTTGAATAAGTGCATTTTTTTTCAGTGTGGACCCCTCACAAAATATACTATAACACTTCTTGGCTAGACAAAAAGAATATAGATTATGCAAAATTGTATTTTCACATATGACTTACTTGGCAAACCATTTATTCACTACCTGGAAAAGGCTGTGTAAATGATGTGATCTGTATTAGTTCGTTAACGTCAAAGCCCTGAACCTCAGTAAATTTTATAAAGACTCTGAATAAGAACTAAGATACTTCTGCTTTTGGAATCCAATGTCCCTTGACTTGTCAGAGCCACTAAGATTGGACTCACCTGTTCAAACATTTCAAAGCCAGCAATTGCCTCCTCCCTCCCTGAGTGTATGCACCTGGGGCTCAGTGTGATCATGCTTTGCCTTTCAAGGTGTTCTGCAGGTACATCACTCAGGATTAAAGGAAAGTTGTTCAAAAACTGCCTCCATCATGCAAGAGGGTGAGATAAACCCCCGCCTAAAAGTTAACTCACAGCTTCTAAAGCAAAGTGTTACAAGCTAAGCACTCATTAAATACTTCAGTGAAGTACCAGGAAAAACTTGCACTTAATCCATGTGATGAATCTGCAGAGTCAATACTGGACCTGAACAACAGGCAGTTACAACACAGGTCCAGCACTCATCCATCGCTGGAAGCAACACACAACCTGCACAAGAATTTATGAATCCCAGTGCACAGGCAGTGCCTGGACCCAGTTCCAGCTCCTCTGTTAAAACCCCCAGGACCACCCATCAGCAGCCCACTATCAAAAACAAAGAGAGCAAGAACACTTAGGGCTTTTTTCAAGGCTTTAGAAACCATCATGGCCAAATTTCTGCCATAAGCCCTTCTGCAGCTTATTCTCCTCAAACTCTTGCATTGGCAGTTACAGATTGTGCAAGTACATCCACACTGCTTTTATACTCCTTCCATTGCTTACAACTTCATTTGAATATTGTCCATTGGAATAAAAACTGCTTGAACTGTGTTTTCCTCTACAACTGTAAGGTGCTCAACCCACCAACAAGGGAAAAAGTAAGACAGCATACAAGCTTTGGATCCAGGCTGCAGAATTTCCAGGTGCCTTCAGGCAGTACATAATGAGAAACATATTCTGAAGGCGTGCTGGTGACAAAAAACCCATAGAGATCCTACTTTTCCTGCAGTACAAAGCAACAACCTCCAGCACAGCCACAGTATATATATTTTTACTAGGAATTCCTTCTATCCCACTCAGAGCAGTCTACATACTTCTACATAGTGCAATCTAAAGTTACACCATTTATGACCCATTTTTTACCTCTTGAAAAAATAGAAAAGCAGCTTCCTAATGCAAATACAGCCACATGCTACTTCTCCCATTGCACCTGCTTTAGCAATTACATAAGAGTAACATTTGAGCTACGATTTTACACTTCATGCATAACTGCATTTAATTTCTATATGTCCAGTTAAAATAACACCCAATCCATCAGCTTCACACCACCAGCTAGCTACGCTTCTTCCTGTCAATGCCATCCAGACAAGCACTGCATGCTTCCGCCAGCATCTGTTCACGCCATTTTCATACAAGGTAATTTTTTCATTTCACCACACTTTCTCTCTGTATTCCTGCCTACCACAACCAGCTCTCTCATGTCACAAAATGATTTTGGGTTTTCACTTTTCAAGCGCTTTAGAATCCATCCCACATAGTTTATCATTAAATATTCTGCACTGCCTTTACACTCCCACCTAAAAGCTCATGTCACCTGCAGACTTTTTCAAATGCCTTCCTTCTGAAGAAAAACACTCTCCCTGCAACCTTCCCCTGCCCTTTTCCCATGGCTTCAGCTGGTGGTGTGGATCCAAGGCCCATGCTGAATACACTGCAGCTGCATGATCTCAGCTCTGACTACTGAAGTAGCTGCTATGCTCTAAGAACCTGCACAGTAAAGTCATACCAAGATAAGAAAGGTGGAGCTGCAGAGTGGGCAACATTTTTGAGATACAGACCATCAGCAGCACAAGCACTCAGGAGTTAAAATGCAAACATGAAAAGGTGTAAGTTCAAAAAAAAAAGAAATCAAAAATAGGGAGCCAGAATATAGTAACTCAGCAACTCTGAGCAGCAGAGGCTGACCCTTCCCCTCCTAAGGGATGTGTGCATGGCTGCCTGGTGTGTTAGCTGGGGGAGGGAGCAGATGAATGCTTAGCCCAGCAGCCCATTAAAGCCTGGCTGTTCCTTTTGTGCATGCTAGCCAATAACTGTTCAACTTTTTTACACTGTATGTACCCTGCCCACAGCATCTCTTTGCAGACAGCAGAAGTGCCATAAATGACACAGTGGATCAACCTATTATCACTGGAAAGCCACACTGTTGTCCTTTCCTCCCCTCGAAATCCCTCTTCTACATTTTTGTCACATTTCCTACTAGAGCTCATACAGCCGGTGAACTGCAATCACCACGATTCAAATTATCTCGTTGCTTTGCATATTCCACCCACCCGCTCACGCTAATTGGCTCTCACCATACATTCGGATTACAGCCCCTGCTGATGAACAAACTTTGTTACAGCCACATACCCAACAGGGTTTGACCGAGGCCGCAGCTCGCTCATGCAGCAAGTGCCTGTGCCTTCAGCATAATAAACACTGCCAGCTCCCACTGCTTTACCACTGTTGCTGCTCCCCTTTGCTTTGCCCGTACAAGTGTTCGGAGAAGGGTGAGGTGAACCGGACAAGGGAATGATCAGCGAACGCTCGCTCTTTTCCTCGCAGTTACCTCGAGCCCAAACCACCGGCGGCCGGGGACGGTGCGGCCCACGAGCAGCGGAGGGCTGGGCTGCGGCAGGCCCCGGGGCCTCCTCGGGCCGGCACCGGGGCACGCACCGGGGCACCGCGGCGCTACCGGCGGGCCATGAGAAGCACCTCCCGCTGCACGGGCTGCGTGCGGCCGCTCCCGCAGCTAACCGGGCTGGGCACAGCGAGCGGCCCTGGAACGGGGTGCAGGTACCCAGCGAGGCCCCTCGCGGCGGGGAGCGCACCAGCCCCGCGGGGCCCCCGGTGCGGCGGAGCCCCCGGTGCCGGAGGGGCAGCGGGGGCGCGCCCGGCCCCCGGGCCGGCCGGAGTTTGGCTCGGCTCGCCCCGCGGGGACTGACACACGCACGTACACGCGCACCCCGGTAACAAATGGCTCCGCCGTCTGCGGGGACCCGCGGGTCGCCCTCGGGACGCGGCCCCGCAGCCCACTCCGCACCGGCGGCGGAAGTAGGAGCGGGACGGCCCGCGGCGGCGCGGAGCGGCTCCGCCCGGAAACCCGCGGCCCCGTGACTGCGCAGCGCTGAGCGGAGCTGCCACTGGTCCGGGCCCGGCCCCGGTCGCCAGTCGCCGCCGTGGCAGGTGGGTCCCGGCGGGAGGGGGCCCGGCGTGTGCCCGGGGCAGCGCGGAGTTCCCTCGGGCGGAGCGGGGAGCTCCGGGTGCGGCCGGTCGCTGGGAGTTGCTGCCGCGGAACCGGCTCTCCGCGGGGCGAAGGCGTCCGTGGGGCCTCCTAGAGAGCCGAGGGAGCGGGGTGCCGGGGAGTAGGGTGTGGCGGGGCTCCGGGAGGGGACTGAGTGGCGGCTGTGGCTCCGTGCCCCAGCTCGCCCTGCCGCACGCTGTCGCTGACAGGATGAAGCTGCGGCAGGTCTCCGACTTGAGTGACTTCAGCCGAGGCCACTGGCTGCGGGAGTTGCTGTGCCGCGGAGAAGAGCCCAGCCACGTCCAGTCCAGCCCCGACGGGCAGCACCTCCTGCTCCTGCAGAAGAGCCGGCCGCCCACCCTGCCGCGGGTGGTGGCCTTCCAGCGCCACAGCATCGCTGGAGCCGACCTGGAGAGGAGCTGGCAGCCGCCCCAACCAGCCCCTGTGGGACTGCTCTTCCTGCAGAGCCCTGTGGTACCGGACTCCTGGGTACTGGCCGTGGTGTGGGAACACGGCCGGACCGAGGTCTGGCACTTTGTGGTGGCCGTGGGCTGGCAGCTGCTGCAGACACTGGAGCTGTGCCAGGGTGCCCGGGCACGAGTCGTCTCCGTGTGCAGCCAGGGAGCCAGCCTGGTGTGGTGTGAGGAGAGGCCGCCGCTGGGTGCTCACTCGGACATGAGCAAGTGTGCCTTCAGGTTCTGTGTGTGTGCCCGTGCTCTGGAGGTGGGGGAGCAAGGCGTGCGGCTGGGCACTGCGAGGATAGTCCTGCACAACAGCCCCGAGTACCAGGTCCTGGCCTCTCCCCAACACGTCTTCCTAGTGCCTGCTGCTGCCGGCTTTGCCACCACTTCCAAATTCCTCCTCATCTGGCATCCAGAGAAGGCAGAGTTCACCATCACAGCCCCCTCTGCAGGCTTCATCCACAGCAAGGTGCTGCGCTCCAGCAGCGAGTCAGACTTCAAGAAGCTCCTGCTGGGTTCTGTGGGCCTTCTCTCAGGTTTTGCGCCTCTGGACATTCACACCTCCGCTGTGTCCAACAGTGGGGGTCTGCTGCTGGTGAGCACAAAGGGTTCTGTGAGTATCGTGGAGCCAGATGGGACACAGAGGCATATATTTGACCTGGAGGGCGGGCCCCTGGCCCACGGGAGTCTTGTCCAGCTGAAGACTTCCGGCAGCATCCTGGCCTGTGTGCTGGCTGGAATACTGTACCTTGTCGACCAGAACAGTGGAAGGCTTGTAGAAAAGGAAGTCCTGAGCATGAAGGAGGTGCATTTCCTGGAGTCCCAGGGAGAGGAGGACAGTATCCAGCTCCTCAGTCAGAGTGGCATCTACAGCTTTAGCTTTTCCAAACCTGAGGACAGCAGCAGGCCTGAGCCATGCCTGGTGGAGATGGTGTTTGAGGAGGCCTGCAGATATTATCAGAGGAGGAGCCTCAGCAGCTCCAAGCTGACGGTGGAGAAGTTAAAGAAAGGTGGTACGTTCCAGGCTCCTGTGGTCCTCGCTGCCATCCTGCAGCACAGCCTCCACCAGAAGCAGAAGCCAGCCCGAAGCCTACAAGACACTTATGCCAAACTGTTGAATGCAGTGAGCCAGGAGCTGCAGAGCTACATGAGCCTGGAGCTCCTCAAGACTTGCGTGGTATGTGCCCCAGAGAGTGAGGTGGAAAGCTACTGCAAGGAGCTGGTGGAGCAGGAGGTCAGCCGCATTCTGCAGTCTGACATGGACAAAGACAACTTGGCCTATCTGAACTCTGTCTTTGCCTCCTTCCCCAAGGCTGCCTGGAAGGCCACAAGGAGCTGCCTGCAGCTGCAGCAGAATGGGGATGGCCTCTTGGTAGCCAGGGCCACCCCAGAGGTATGGAAGAAGGTCCTGTGTCAGCCACAGCTGGAGGAGGTGGGTCAGAATGGGATGGTCCCACTCTTTGAGCTCATTTGCGGCTCCTTCCTGACGTTCAAACCCAAGTGGTTGCCCAGCTTTGTGGAGCTGACCCAGCAGTACGTTAGCAGCTCTTGGTCATACAGCAGCAAGGAGGGCCCAGAGGGCCGGGTGCCACTGTACAAGAGAGCACTGGGAGTGCTGGCCCGAAAGAACAAACACGGCAAGCCAGATGACGAGATGGAGCTGGAACTGCTGCTCTGCAGCAAGAGGCCTAAGGCCGTGCTGCAAGCTCTGCACCTTCTCATCCATCTGAAGCAGTGGCAGAGGGTGGTGGAGGTGGCAGAGAAGTTCTCCAAACTCAGCCCCTTGCTTAACAAGGAGATATTCATCACGCTGCTGGCTGAGTTTGCCCAGCACCGGGAGCTGGACCCTTACCTGGACAGGCTGTGGCCGCTGTGCCCTGCTGAGCTCACTGCCTCAGACATCCTCACCATGGTCCTGCAGCACCTCCCTCATTCCCAGGAGGACCCAGTGCCCTTCTCCAGCGAGGGGAACCAGCTGACTGTGGGCTTGCTTAAGCCACTGCTGCAAAGGGTTGTGCAGCGTCCCAGTGTCCAGGACGAGATGTACTCAGATGCCCTGCAGAGCAGCACCTTCCCCCCTCCCACCCCACCCCGAGAGCACAAAATCCCCTCAAAAGCAGCAGCTGATGATGTTCCTCAGCCATCTATGGCAAGGACTTCCTCACCCTCAGCACTGCTACAGGATGACAGTGTGTGAAGGGGGAAGGACAATGTCATCCCAAGCCCTGGATGCACAAGGAAGGGAAATCCTACCTGTGTTGGCAATACGGAGGCCTGCTCCTTTCTGAAGCATCCCTGCAGCATCTCAAAGAGCCTGTTGGGTGGCTGAGGTTGGGGGATCTCTGATCCAGGGCAGGCTTTCTGGTTATTCCTAGCAAGTGCAATTGTGTGTGTGCCAGTGGAGGAGCAAATGCCAGGTGCATATGCAGATGAAAACACTGGCTGCACTACAAAACTACAGAACTGCTCCCTGCCCAAAGCACTTTGTTTTCAGTTTGTTTGGCTCCTTTCTAGCTCCACTTCTACTTCCCTGATCCTCTGGTACTGGTGGTGGGGTGGTAGGCAGTATACAGTCTTTCCCCACCTCGTTCTCTGCTCAGTGAGCTCGGTGGTACCTCCAAGCTCTGCCTGTGAGAAACAGGGCATGTTTCCTGCAGCTGGGTCACTGAGTCCTGCTGCTCTGGGCTCAGTCAGATGCTAAATGCCAGTGTGGCAGAGCTCAATGGCACTGGGGTCCCAGCACACACGCTGGCAGTTGCAGCACTCCACACATTGTCTCACCACAACTCCTCTGGGATCAGTCCTGTAGCTGTGACTGATTGCAGCTACTTAGCTGAAAAGAGCAGCCTAATTCCCTTATCTCTCTGTCCCAGACAGTACCCATACTCTGCTGAGCTGAGACACTTGCACCAGGCTATGAGAGCTTGGGGCTGGTCCTGCCTTTCCCTTTCCTTTGTGGAAGCTTAGATTATGCTGCAGGACACCCGAGCCCTCTGTTCCCATCTCCTCTACCTTTGCCCTTTGCATACAAAGGGGCTTTGTCAGGGTTGTCTGGCTCATATTGTGCCTCTGTTTGCAAAATCAATGTAACTTGAGATCAGTTTTTGCAGGAAGATCCAGGTTCCAGCCTCTCTCAGGTGCCCAGTGCCTGGCCCCATCTACCAGGAGGGAGACCCTTACTGTGGCTTTGCCCCTGCATTCTGGGCTCTGGTGTAAAGGAGCTGTCTGGTGCCTTGTTGGGCTGCGGGACATTCACCTGCATTAATCCTCTTGAGAGTGGTCTTTAGTGTGGAAGACAGACTCCTTTTAAAAATAAAGGTTCCTAAAGCACTGCTGAGGTGGTGGTGGATGTTATGAGGGTACACACCCTCAGGAAGAGGGCAATCTTGTTTTGCCTCTGGTGAAAAGTGGCCAGGCTCATCTCTCTGGTGCTGCCCAGCATGGCTCACAACTGGTAGAGCTGGGCTCAGAGAGCATGCCAGCTAGCTCATGCCCTCTGTGGTACTCCGCTGCTTACCACTATGAAGCCGTGGAGGCAGGAGTCTGCACAGGCAGGCAGGAGCTATGTGCCACAGGGAAGGGCATCCAGGCCGTGCATGGCTGTGGCTGGGCCCAACAGAGAGTTGAGGAAGGGAGGATTTTTTTTCTCAAGAGCTGCAAATTCTCTATTTTTTAGGAAAACTAGCTACGGAGAGCACCTGGCTGGCTCAGCAAAATCCTGCTGCCGGGCACAGTGTCAGAGCTGTTGTTGGAGATTATTGTTTGTGAAACCACTGTAAAGAGGTGGCAGAGTCCCCCAGAGAAGGGCTTGGCTGCGGAAAGTCCCTGTGGTGGAAAAAGGCCTGGCAAAGAGGAAGAGGAACTGCTGCAATGGTTCCCTAGAGAGTGGCTGGCTATTGATGAGACCTTCCTTGGCGCAGGGTCCTTGTGCTTTGGCCATGGGGCACTCTGAGTTTCCCTCTCACTCTGGCAGCTGCCACACGTGAGCAGAGGGAGCGGGGCCTGAAAGGAGAGCTGGTGGCATCCACTGAGGGCATTCTGTAATGAGCTGTCCTTGCCTCCTCTCCAGGCAGCTGGTGGCCTTGCCAGACTCTGCTCTCACCCACCGCCCAGGGCTGTTTGGGAGGAGGATAATGGATGGACCCCAGCACCTCTTAGAGCCTCATGGCTCCAGAGATTGGAACACTGCCCTGGAGCTGCACTGAATGGGGAGCTGCTGAGAGCAAGCCCCACACCCTGGCAAAGGCTGTGCAGTCGTCTGGGGGAATGTCTTCATTGCCAGGGCTGGGTTTGGATGCAGGTTGCCACAGTAAATGAGGGTGAAGCTCCCTGCCTTCCAGCACTGGCTCTGCAGAAAACAGAGAGCAGGGAAGAGGCAATGTCCACAAAGCCAGCAAGCAGAAACTGAAGCCAGCAGCAGTCCTGTGTGAGCAGGCATCCCCGAGGCACAGCAAGGGAAGAGGAAGCGGGAACATGACGCAGTAGGGACAGCCTGAGGCCTGGGGGCAGAAGCCTCCATGTATGGGCCCCAGACAAACAGGAAGTAGAATTCTGGGGGCTGAGGGTCCAGGGCCAAAAACTGAGCTGAATGCTTTCCAAGGGGTTGCTGGATATCTCACGGCAAGAACCAGGAAGGGTGAGCAGCCCTGGGGGAAGCAGGGGCCAAAGCAATCTGAAGGACAGATTGAGCTGACTGATAGGCAAGCACAGGGCTCTCGCTGCAGTCACACTCTGCAGGGGGGAGACAGCAGGAGGTAAGGCCGGTGCAGCCTCAGATAAAGCCCAAAGAAAAACTAGCAATTAGATCTGAAGGCAAGTGGGAAAAACAGCAAGAGATGCACGTAGTGGAGGGGGAGCTGGCCTGGCCCTCTCACTGTGCTCCAGAGAAACTTGGACTTTGCTACAAAGGAAATGAGTCAAGCTGCTCACGTATATCCCCTGTGCCCAACACAGCTTTCGGGATGGGCCCTGCACTTGCACCAAGGAGCAGCACAAAGCAATACCTGAACTCACCCCAAGGCTCTAGACCAAGTCACCCTGATTTATCTGTGCATGCAGCTTTTTCTGTGCAGAGCACGGTGTGTGCAGGGGTGGGCACAGGAAGTACCCATGGCACCATATCTTGCAGAGAGAAGGTGTGGGCTGCAAGCACCCCATAAACTCACTGGAAATCCACAGATGATACGTGCTAGAGTTGCCAGAGGGAAGTGCTTATGTGCTGGGGACAGCTTGGGGTGGCACTTCATAGACAGGAGGCTCTTTGTGTGGCTTGTCCCAGGGAGGGACCTGGCACTCACCCAGTCAGAGGTGCAAAGGGCTGCCCAGGGAGGGGAACATCACCCAGTCTTGGTGACACTGAGCAGTGATCCTGTATCGACCCACAGGCTGGCTGTGGGCAGAGCACACTTGGCAACACCAGAAAGCCCTGTGGTCCCAGGCAGAGCCTCAGCTCGTGCCAGCAGTGGGGAACCCTCCAGCCCCTAGCCCTGCGTACTTCCATCACTGCTAGACCTGAGGACACAGTCACATCCCACAATGCACACAAACACACCATTTATTGTTTGACACCAAAAATTACAACCTTAGAAAGAGGCAGGTTCCCTGCAAAAATAAATAGTCACATTTTTCAAGTGAGGGGGTCTGTCCATTTCCTTCTCCATCTGCAGGTGATGGGAGCTAATGCCTTGTGGAAGGCCTGGGGATTTTGTAGGCGTTGAATGTTGGTGGCCTGCAAAACCAAGGTCACATATATCACCCCCAGTCACAGAGTGGGGCAAGGGACAGCTCAGAATACACTGGGATGGTCAAATATCAACCCACTCCTATCACCCAGTCCTACAGGAAATAGGGTATGGACACAGCTTCCCCAAAGCCACCACCTTGGGAGACTGGGACCAGCAGCACCTCCAGACTTGAGAGTGTGGGAAGATGATAGGGGACACCACAACTGCAGGCACGACAAAAGTCTCACCTTCACAGCCATCCCCTGGTACCAGCACAGCCCCTGGTCTGCACTCACCCTGGTCCCCACCCCCCTCCCTCTGTCCCCTGCCCCCCCTGTACCTACAGGGCCTGCCCCCCACCCCACAAAGGGACCTGTCAGTGTAAGTAGCTTACATCTCAAAGTCTTCATTCCTAGAGGGGAGAAAAAAGAGGGGACAGTGTTAGTGGGGCAAGAAGATGCCTTATGGGACAGGACAGCATCTCATGGTGGGATAAGGTCTCCCATGGGTCACAAAAGGAGAGCACATGGGCTTCAGGGTGCTGTGGTCCCCTCCGTCCTGGCTGCCTGATGTGAACAGAGAGCACTGGCTCTTAGAGGCCCCCAGAGCATCAGTGCTCCTTCCCCAGGCAGGCAGAGCAGGGCCCCATGCTCAGCAGCACCCAGCTCCCTGTGCCTCAACTTGAGCTCCCCGAGGTTCCTGGGCAGCTGAGCCCATGTCTCCAGCCGGCTCAGAGGGGTGGCAGGAGCTGGGGAACCCTCAGCACAGCAGCTGCACCACAGGGCCACAACATAGCCCTCAGGAGCTGGAAATCCAGCTAGAAACTGCTCACTACCCTCAGGGGTCAGTGCCTGTGCTGGTGGTGGAGCTGCCAGGCAGAGTGTCGCAGAGGGACAGCCCCAGGACACCGGTGGCCACAGGCATGTGAGCAAGCACTGCACCCTCGTGGCAATGCCACCAACCATGCAGCACACTGCATTCTGCACAGCATCCAGCTGTGCTCCCACACCAGTGCTCCAGCACAAAAATGGTGCAAAACAGAGCGAGTCCAGTGGTGGACTCGAGCCAGGCTGTGGCTGCAGCCCTGCCAGGCTCCTTCCACCAAAGGGAATCCCCCTTTATCTGCCCAAACAGGAGGTTCAGAGCAGGCAGAGAAAAGCTCCAGAACATTCCCATCCTCAGAGGCTGAGGGCCCTAAGTCACCTCTCAGAATCTCCCCAGCCCACATTACTTTAGCATGAGCCCCACAGGCTACCCAGGGACATGAAGGAACAGCTGGCAGGGGGACCCCAGACCCAGTGTAGTCACAGGGGGTGGGGCTGCTCCTCACCTGTACACATCAGCAATATCCATGCGGCGGTAAAACTTGGCAAGTCTGACAGCCAGGATGATGCTGGGCAGCAGGAACAAGGTGCACCAGCCCAGGCTGAACCAGAAGGCATTCTGCATAGGGTGGAGGAAGAGCCATTAGGTCCACAGAGCAACTGGGAGAAACTCTTTTGCTCCCAGCGCTCCCCAATGACCACCCACTCCTTCTCAGAGCCTGGCCTTTCCTCTTAGCCACAGCACTTTGCTGGGCAGAAGCTGAGCACTGCTTCCTGTGCATCCCTGATCCTTCCCTGCATCCCTGATCCTGTGCATGAGGAGGACAAGAGGACCTCACTGCCACCCCACACGTGTGTGTCACTCTACACGTCGCTGCCCCACTCACCACGGAGTCCATGATATAGTCACAGCCAATGACCTCCACATTATCCAAGGACTGAGCTATGGGCTTGCAACGCGCCACATCTTCTCTCACCTGGGAACATGGTGGGGACAGCATATGTCAGCATCCACCAAGCCTTGCAGCTCATTCTCCCCTTCTCTCCACCTCACTGAGCTCAGCTTACCCTGCTCTTGGCCCATGAAATGTAGGTCTCAAAGAAATCCAGCAGCTGCTCCAGGAAGGCCAATGTCTCCTGGAGGGGCAAGCACAGAGTGGAGATGTTGCACCACCAGCCCCCTCCATGCCCCATGTCAGGACCAGGGCTCTCGGGCCACCTCAGCCCAGCAGCAACAGGGCTGGAGGATTCACCCCACCTCAGTCCCTTGCCAGGGGTGCCATAAGGGAAGGGGGCACCCAGGGGTGCAGGAGATACTCAGGGAAGGCAAGCAGGATGAGCAGCCAGACAAGGTTTGGCTTCCCTGTAGAGGGAGGTCTTGGTGAGGGGGTCTGGTCCATGTGACCTGACAGCAGGGCAAGGCAAGCTCACGTTCTTGATGATGTTTGGCATCTCCCTCTCCAGGAACTCCTGGGTTTTGTTGGCTTTGTCCAGCGCAGCTGCTGTCTGTCCCTGAGGTGAAAGGTGCTCTCAGCACTGTGATCTAAGTGGGGTCTCTGCACTTCACCAACCCTGCACAGCAGCACTCCCTGGGGCATAGCCTCTTGGAGCTGTGGTGTTCCCAGCAGTGACACGCTGGTAGTGCCAGGTACCTCAGGTGGAGGGAGCCTGCACCTGGCAGGGTCCATGGCCTCCCTCCCTCTACTCCATGAATAGCCCCTGCAGCCCCCAGACTGCAGGTTAGCCCCACCACCTCCACTGCAGGACCTCGAGGGTGCTTTGCAGGGTGCCTGGGACTGGCATGCACTCCCCTTGTGCAGCTTACCTCTAGCTGGACAGCCCCACTCTGCACTGAGTAGATGCTCTCCTTCAGACTTTGCTGGGGACAGAGAAGGGGGATCAGAGGTGCAGACCCCACAGCTCAGACAAGACCTGCCAGCAGGCTCTGAGCTCTAGGGAAGCCCAACCCAGCATCCCCAGGACATGCCCCAGCATCGCTCACCAGTGGCCCAGAGAAATTCTCCTGCATCTCCTTTTCCAGCTCCCTCAGTTTGTGAGCATTATCTTCCAGGCTCTCCTTCACATCTGTGCCCTGGGAGAGCTCCAGTCAGCAGTGCCCAGCTCTGTGCCTCCCCTCAACACTCAGGCAGGCAGAGAGGAGCCCAGTAACCAGTGGCTTTGGGGACAGGGTGGCTGTGGCCCTGGGGTATCATGGTCTCTCACCACTTTTCCTGCCAGCTGCTCCAGCTCTGCAGCCAGATCCAGGAGGCTTCCCTGGGTCATATTCTGATCCAGCTGGAAAAGGCAGAGACAGAGCCATGAGAATGAGGAATGGGGTGCACAAGGGGAGCTATACCCCTTCTTTGTGGGACAGAGAAGAGCCAGAGCCTTCTGGGCAGAGGATGTGTCTTGTTACCCTAACGGGTTACACAGATGGCAGAGCTCTCTCACAGCAGCAAAAAGGAGAGTGCAATAGACCTCCTCAACCCACATCCAGCCCCTCCACCCTGATCCCAAGACCAGGCTACACCCAGCACACCTGCTCCAGGGTGAGGGTGAAGTTGGGAGGCTGTCCAGCCTGACTAGCACTCAGCAGCAGGTCTTTCTGGCTCTGGTTGAGCAGGGAGATGGGGCTTAGGATGATGTTCATCTTCTCAAAAGCCGTGGAGATGTTTCCTGTGTACTGCCAGAGCAAAGGGGGCCATGATGGGACAGGTGCTGGCTCCTCACTGTCCCTCAGCCCTTGGTCTGGATTCCTGCCCTCAAGACCCTGGCACCCCCATGCTCACCTGGCTGATATTCAAGAGCTCATCTAGGGACATGCTCTGGTCCAAGTGCAGAGTTTGCCACAGGGAAGCATCTTGCTGGCACTGCCTGCAGGATGGGGGCATGGAGTTTAAAACAGGGCAGGTGAGGGCCACCTTCTCCCAAGAGCATGTCTTCATCTGTTCAGCTAGGTTGCACCTTGCTCCTTCCCTGTGATCAGTGCCTACCCACAGCCTGGGAAGGTGGGGCATGCTGCCCTGCTCCTGGGGATCATCTGAGGGCATTGAGCAGCTCTACCCCCACCAAAGACACAGTGTCAGGGCTGGCACCCACCTGTATATCTCTGAGAAGTTTGTTGTGTCACCCTTCAGGCCCAGCAGCTCTGAGAGATTGAAGTTAGGGATCTTGCCAGGGGTGTCGAGGAGCTAAGAGCCAGGAAAGAGATGGAGAAACTAGACATAGTGCAGGGCAGGACACTTTGAAAGAGCACCCTAAATGGCTAGTGCTGCCTTTGCTCCACCAGCAGCCCTCATTTAGGAAGCAGTATCTCCAGGCAGTTTCCCCACAGCAAGCTTACCTGGAAGAGCTGCTGGTTGTGCCAGGACTCACAGAAGAGCATGTAAATGTTCCCCCCTAGCGCGAAGACGATCATCACCAGCAGCATGAGCAGCCAGTAGAAGATGAAACTGAAACCAACCCCTCTGCCAGGACAGAAATGCCATCAACACCAGCAGCCCAGTGGCCCAGCACTGATGTTGGCATTGCCCCCAGCTCGCAGAGGCCAGGAGCTGTACACCACTCACCCCCACAGCTGTGGAAACACCACCATTCCCACAAGCTTGTCTCTGTTCTGCCTTCAGAACCCAGAGCATGACCAGGATCTACCCTGGAGCCTGGATTCCAGAACAGCTTCCCACAGCTTTGCAAGCCAGCACTCCCCCGCAGAGGTGCAGGACCCACGCACACACTGCCAGCCCTCGCCGTCAGGGCAAACGGGCTCCCCTCAAATGCCTCTCACCAGCACCACGTTTGACCTTCAATTTACCACCTGCACGGGGAGTCACCACGGGACTGGCCATTAAGCTGCAGTAAAATGATGATTTAGGAGCTCGAGCATTCCCAGGCCAGCCCTGCCCACCCATCCCACCGCTCCCACACATGTCCTTGGCAGCCAACTGAGCCTCACGCCATGAAGAAGTTCCCGCCAGCATTGGAGAGGCTGCTGCGCTGTGTGGGCAGCACACCTTCCTTCAGCCCCAGGGGCCCCAGCAGCAGCCCAAAAACATTGCAGAGGACCACCAGCAGCACTGTGCAGCACAGGAGGGCACACACGATCAGCCTGGGGCAAGACAAAGGCCGGGAGTCAGTCAGCAGAACCTGGGACCCTGAGCAGCACCCTGCAGCACACTGGCTGCCTTCCTAGGGAGGAAAAAAGGTCCCAGACACCATAGCAGGGAAGGGGCATGTGTGTCTGCAAGGCTACTTTGCACCCACAACTCCACCACTCAGCAAGCCCCCACCTCCAGCAATGAGAGGAGCAGGAGCTTTAAAGCTCCCCAGACAATGAAGCCGGGGCCGGAGCCCCTCGCCCACCTGAGCCCATCCCAGGCGATGATCGGCTCCCTGTACTCCTCCAGCACCGATGTGGCATCATTCACAAAGGCCCCAACTTTCTCCTTTGCATCCAGGAGCGGCAACCCTTCCTGCAAGCTTCTGATCTCCTGCCTGACGAGGAGCAGCTGGTCCTGGCTCTCTGCAAGGAATGGGGACAAGCTGACATTGCGAGGTCCTGCAGGGCACCGGGGACTCAGAAAGGATAGGAAAGGAGCAGTCATGGCCAAGGATGACATTGGCATGATGGCACCTGGGGACAGCCAGGGCTGCAGGGAAGAATGGCTTGAGAAGGGAGGAGGGAATCCTAGGAGAGGGAGAAGTCAGCACACAAAGCCCTGCTTACTTGCCACCACTTCTTGGGACTGCTCTTGCACCTTGTCAGGGGTCATGCCCAGCGTTTTGTTAACCTGCATCCAGGGAAGCACAGCATGAAACTCACATCCCTGCCTGCAATCCAGGGCTGAGCAGCACATCCTCTTGTTCCCAGATCCTAGTAACACACAACAGCCAGGCTCCCCACAGCACCAAGTCCACCCTACCAGAGTGCAGCGATGGCTGGGACAGTGAGCAGACCTCAGGCCAGCCCTTCCCTCGGTGTCACACACCGAACTCCTGACAGAGCTCTTCCCAACCCACAGCCTGTCAGCACAGCCCCGGCAGTTGGAGGAGCACCCAGCTTTGTGTCTGGGTGAAGGGGACACCCCTTACCTCCTCTAAATCAGTCTCTATGTTTGACTCAGAGACCTCACGCAGTGCCTCCAGCTGCTGCTCCACACCTGGGATCTGCGGGGAACAGCCTGGGGTGAGGGAGCTGTGGGGGCAGGGGCTGCTGGGGCTCCTCACCCACACCCTGCCCCTCCTCACCGTGCTGAAGTTGGCAGTGAAGGCGAGCCCGTCCAGGGACACTCGGCTGCAGGGGGGGCCACATTTCTGCAGGGTGTTGTTGAGCCTGTCCCGCAGGCTGACCAGCCACTGGCTGTAGTTGCTCTGCAGCTCCTTGAGCTCTGAGCGGATGATGGAAATGTTGGCAAAGGTGTCCTTCAGCATCTCCATCCCTGGGGAGATAGCGGGGAGCTCAGGGCGTCATCCTGCCACTGTGGCAGGGACTCGTTCTCATCCAGCTGAACTTTGGAAACTCATGAAAAAATGCAATATAGGGGCACCCCCAAAGTCATGGCACTTGTCCCAGGGTGTGGCTGGGAGGCCAAAGGGATCCACCTCCATGGGAGCCTTACCCAAACATGCACCCACCCCATCCTTGATCCCCCTGAGTCCCTTGCCAGTCTCTCAGGGATGGGGCCAGTACCTTGCAAGAGGCTCTGGAGAGACCCCAGAGCCCCATCCATGCTGCTCCTGATGCGTGAGGTGATCATGCTGCCCAGTTTGGGCCCAATGTCTGCAGAGATGGGAGAGGTGGTGTCAATAACAGGATCCCTGCAAGGTCCTGGGGCTTACTGAAAAGCTGGTGAAAAGACTGACACCACCAGCACCCCTCCCTCACCCACTCCCCAGGTGGGGGAAATGGGGATATTCCTACTCTCCCAGCACCTGCATCACCCTTCCCAGAGAGGAGCCTGAATAGGGAAAAGCAGAAACTGGAGCAGAGCTGGAGCTTGGAAGAGCCTCCAGGCCCAGTCCCTTTAAACATCCCCGTAAGTACAAGCCCAGTGGTCCCCAGGATCAGCAACCACCCACAGGGCAGAAAGGTAAGCCCACACAACAGCCCCACTGCCCAAGAGCCCCCAGCCCTGGAGCAGCTGGCCACAGGGCCGTGGGGATGCTCCAGCCCCTCCTGTCGCACACCCTCACCCTGGAGGCTGCGGTTGGCATAGTCCAGCGGGACATCGCTCTTGTTGATGATAAAATCAACTTGCTGCAGGGACAGAGATGTGGTGTCAGTGAGGGTGGGGACCTTTCTCTGCTGCCAGCCCCTCTGCTGCCCTTCCCCGGTGGCCTGTTTGGGCTGCTCCTCCCGCCTGGTCCCTTGCCCTCAAGACGTGTCAGAGGGATCACCTGCTGCCCTTCCCCGGTGGCCTGTTTGGGCTGCTCCTCCCGCCTGGTCCCTTGCCCTCAAGACGTGGCAGGGGGATAATGCATGCCTGGGGGATGGAGGCCAGGTAGGTCTGGACATCATCCAGAGTGTTGTTCACATTGGGAAAGGTGCTCTTCACAGCCTGGGAGAAGCGGGTGTTGCTGATGAGGGCACAAACACCACCAGCCCTACAAGGGAAGGGTGGCAAAGTGAGCATGTGGGGAGCTCAGTCCCAGTGCTCCCCCCCAGTACCCTCCAAATCCACCCACACAGCCCCCAGCCTGCAGGGTCTGGAGCACACCAGTGACTCCTGCTTCCAGTGCACCCCAGCACATGCCCTGCCCTGAGGGACCAGAGAGGAGGGACGCAGGAAACTGAGGCAGAGCCCGGTACGCCGTGGGGAAGCTGTCGGGAAAGGTCTGCACGGTGCCAGGGTGCAGCCCCCCGGGGCCAGCTCCCCACCGCCGCTGCTTCCTCTCCTTTGTCCCGCCGTGCCGGGATCTACTCGTGAACAATGGCAGTTTCCTGGCACGGCCGCCAAGCGCCGGCATTTCCAGCCACCCCTGGGTTCCATCCGGAGCCTCCGGCCGGCGCACTCACAGGAGGAAAGCGGAGACCAGCAGGACAGAGGCCCAGAGCGCCCGGCGCCGGCAGCCCATCCGCCGGCCCTGCTTCTGGTACATGCGGCCCCCGCAGTGCCCGCAGCAGCGGCAGCAGCAGAAGCAGCATCCCACCAGCGGCACGAGGATGATGAGGACGACTCCAATGGCCACGCAGACCAAGAAACCCAGTTCATAGAGCAGCAGCTGGGAGAGAAAGATTGAGAAGCAGCATAACACTGGTGCTCCCGAAGGCCCCTCAGCTCTGCGCACCCTGTCCAGACCCAAACAGACAAAATGGGTCCCCCCAGGGAGCAGAACATGCTCCCTTGCTGCTGCCCAGCATCCAGGGCTCAGCCTCAGAGCAGCACCCACCAGCATCCCCCAGTCCACGGTGGTCTGGGGCTGCCAGCTCCCCACCCCAGCTGCCTGCTCACCTCGCGGATGTCCTCCTGGCTGAACCCGTTCTGGGGCTGCCCAAAATTAATCAGGCCTGGGAGACAAGAAGCACAGAGGGCTGTGAGGAGGTGCTGGGCCCCGTGGAGCTCTTCAAGAGGGCCCCAGACCCTGCTCACACCTCCCAGCCCAAGGCATCACCTGCAGCTCAGACCAGCTCTGAGTATGGCATTTTTCTCCCTTGCAGCTGCCCTCCCCAACCATCACTTCATGCAGCATTTTTGCACCCAGGAAAAGTGCTGAAAGCCCCCAGGCTCTCTGGGGTTCACAGAACAAGGGGTTCCTCACCACCGCGGGCATAAGGGACACTGCCCTGGGGCTTGCCCTCCTGCAGCCCAGCCCTACGCAGAGGCCCAAGGGCACTGCCAGTAATGGATGAATACTGGGGCAAAGGCCCACTGCCACGCTGCCTCTTTCATTCCCAGGGCTATCCCTGCCTGTGCCACATGCCCTCATTACAAGCCTTGATGGCACATAGGGACACTGATTGTACCCTGGTGTCTATGTGACACAGGTCCACAAAGCAGGACCTGTGCGGCCAGCCACACCTTTGCCAGCCTGTTGATGGCAAGCAAGGGTTGAAGCCAGTGAAGGAAGAAACACAACTGGCAGTACCCAGAGTGGCATTTCCCTCCAGGTGGGCAGCACGTACCCCATGAATATGGAGCAGCTGTAGGGTCCCGGTATCACCTGTGCAAACCTGCAGCTGCTTCAGGACAGAGCTGTGACAGCGACAGGAGCAAGGGCAAGTGCTGGCAAGCAAGGCAGTGCACAGAGAGGGCACACACTGCTGCCACTGGCACCGGGACACACTGCTCTTGGTGGCCAGCAAACAGAGAGGGCTGCAAGGCAGGCAAAGACTCTGCAGGCAGAGTGGGGGTTGCCGTGCACATTTTTGGGATTAAGATACCTGGAGGGAGGATGGGGCAGGACTCTGCAAGGTGGCACTACCTCTAACCCCTGTCCTGGGGCCCAGCCAAGATAGCCCCACAGTTATGGGACATGAGCAGGACACAGCTGGCAATCCTTGGGAGCCCACTGCTGATTACCGCGGCCATTACACCCCTACCAGCCCCCCGCTGCCCTGCACCCACCTGTGGGCAGGGCGTGTGGCTGCACCAGCCGCAGGAAGCCGTGTGCCATCGCCACCATCCCCGGCGTGCTGCTCCCCGGCGCCTCGGGGCCAGGCCCGTACGTGGGCTTCGAGATGTTCCCCAGCTCCATGGCAGCAGCTCCTCTGGACACCTGGGCACCGAGAGGAGCTGTCGGTGTCGTCGGGGCACGGGACCACCCACACTGCCCTGCCTCCTGCCTCCGACCAGGAAATGCAGAGAGAAAAAATCAGGCACCTGCCCGCTCCTGCCCGGAAGGAAAGAGCTGCGGGAGAGCCCCGAGGAAGGATGGGTGCACCCATCCACACCCCTGTGAGCAGTGGGGTGGGCAGCCAGGCAGGAGGTGACCACGAGGGACCGGGGGGCTGTGGGGGATGAAGCGGATTCAGAGCACTCACCCTGTCCTCTGACACCTCTCTGCACCCACAGCTGCGGCAGGGTCCGGCCGCAGCGTGCCAGCGCCCAGGTCTGTGTTGGTTTAAGTTTCAGCGGTGATTGCTGACAAGCTGTTTGCCGGGACAGAGGGCGATGCCGGGATCGCCCCACCCTGCCCCTCACGGCTCTTGGCACCCGGCCGCCTCGGGTCGCTTCTCTATACCGGGGTCAGGGTCACCACCGACCTGTCCCGACGCAGGCATGGGGAAGAGTCCCTCTCCTCCCTCTCCGCTGAGCTCCCCTGCCCGTGCTGGTTTCCTCCTGCCCCAGCCCAGGAGCTGGGTGGCCCGGGGTGATCCCCAGGGCAGCCGTCCCGCCCGCTCCGCCCCACACCATCTGCATCCTTTCGGGATGGGGTGCGTTGAGCCGTTCAGAGTTTCAACACAAACCAGCTGTAGCACAGAAGCAGGTTTTGCATCTAAAAACCTACAGAAATGGGGCACTGCGGCAAACCCGGCATTTTTCACAAGCGTCCCGGTCCCCCAAGCGGGGAACAGCCTCAGGGGTCCCCAGACAGCATTTTTTCCCAAAGGCTGGGCGCCCGCTTGGCTCCATCCCCACTCCCCGCGGAGCTTTCCCACGCCGCGTGGCTCCATCCCCCGCCCCGCCGCCGGAGCTCCGGGAACCGCAGCCGGAGGCAGGAGCGGGGAGGGGCCGCAGGTCGCTCCCGGTTGTGCCGCGGACGCACCCGGTGGACGCGGGGCAGGTGCCCCGGGGGTCACGTCTCGGCAGGCGGAGCTCCCCAGCTCGGCACGGCTCCGCACCGAGCCCGCGGCGCGGGGGGCCCCGGGAGCTGCGGGGAGGGCCGGACAGAGCCGCCCCTTCCGCCCTGGCCCGCCGGGGTCTGTCCGGGGCGGGCGGCCGCGCCGGCCCCCTCTTCTGCCGAGGGGGAACCCTCTGCCCCACCCTTCCCGCTGCACCTTGGCGCTCCTCCTTCACCCGAGGGGCAGCCCTGCTCCTGGCCCCAGCCCATCCTGACATCCTGCATCTCCCCCCGAGACCCCGGCCCTGTCCCGCATGGGGGAGCCGGCCGCCCACAGGCTCTCTGCCTGGGGATGCTCCCTCCTTGTCTAAGAGAACCAGCACTCCCCCCACACTGCCAGAGCCGCTGCTGCCCCTCCAGCAGCACACCCTGCCATAGCACCCCTGCCGAGAGCCTGCCCCGCTGCCCACCCTGCCCCTATGCCAGCCCTCAGCTGTGCCCCGCACCCTTCACCTCCTGCCCCGAAGTAGCTGGAGCCCCCAGCATGGTCCTCGGCCCCTGCCCCGTGTCCCTGCTTGGGACACCACGGGCTTTTGGACAGGGACCAGCAGGAACTCTGGGTCAGCTGTACCTGAATGACCTTTGCATGGCGAGCTCCCTGGCCCCTCCAGCCCACGGCTTACTCATGGCCATGTCCCAGTTACTGCTTAACTTTCCTTGGCACAAGCAGGCACCACTGCACTCTGTGACCTCAGGTGAAGGTGGCCCAGGGAGGAGGGCAGCCCTGCTTCAGATTTTCTTCCTGGTCTGGCCCATACTGGGTGCCAGTGTCATGAGGGACCCTCTGGCACAGCACTGGCACTGGGGAAGAGCAGCAGAGGGCACAGATTCATCCCAACAAAAAGAGAGGGAAAAAAAGCACAGTGAGTTTCCCACAGCACTGGAGCTGATGTGAGGGGAGGTTTGGGAGCTTCACAGGTACCTTTGGGCTTTCCAGGTCAGACCTCAACCCTGAAGTGTTGCCTTGGAGCCCTCCAGTAGCTCTTGGGTGCATGTGCAGGATCCAGCCAGGCATATGCAGGATCCACCAGAGATGGCAGGATCTGCTCCTCCAGGGCATTGCTCCCTTCCCACCCAGGGCATCCCACTGAGCCTGCCAGAGCTCAGGGCACATCAGAAACAAGGGTATTTACTGATGCCTCAGCTCTGTGTGCCACACCATGGGCTCACCAGGGCCACCCAGCCCTCACCTGCCCAGCCGTGAGCTCCTACCACAGCACCTGTGTCCTGCAGCCCCCTCGACCTCAGCACTGTCATAGCCTGGTGATGTCCCTCACTGCAGACGTCAACCCAACCCCTGCTCCTACTTTGAAGATACAGGCCCATCCTGCTCTCACCCTCTGCATCAGCCCTGTTTTACGGGCATGGTTTCCCCCATATCCCTAATAAAGCTGGCACAGGGCACTCCAGCTTCTGGGAGGAGATTGTTACAGTCCCCTGTCCCTCCTCTGCTCCTTCCAGGACACCTCCATGCTGCTCAGCTGCTCCTGCCCTGCTCCCAGGCAGGACTACACGGCCCCCACTGCTCCCCAGGGAACGTGCCCATCACCTTGGTGTCCGGGCAGGCCTCGAGCTGCTTGTTTGCTCTGCCTTGGGGACTGGGCCATTTCCCAGCAACCCTCTGCCTTACCCTTGCTGGGATTTCTGCTTTCCGTGGCATGGCAGGGAGCCAGCTGTGGCGTGCCTGGGAACGAGCAGGCAGAGGCAGGCCAGCATCATCCAGGGAACACAGTGAGCCCTGTGCCCACACTCTCTGCCAGGGTACGAGGGACATAAGGAGACAACTCCCCTCTGCCTTGCCCACATCAGCCTGGTCCCATGTTCAGATATAAGTGATCAGGACAGCTTCAAACCGAAAAGTCATTTTATTGGTACCATACATGACTCATAAATGGCACAAACTATGGAGGGGAGGAAGGAAGAAAAAAAAAAAAAAAAAAAAAAAAAGGAACAAAAAGGCATTACAGTGTGCCCATGGCAGTGAGGGCTCTGCACCCTCCACAGCAGCCGTGCAGCATGGCATGGAGAATCGTACCTTAACTGTGATGCAGAGCCCCCCTCCCTGCCACACTGGGCTCCCACCCCCCCTGCAAAGGGGCTGGGGGGACCCCTGTGCCTGGGGGTCTGAGGGGCCGAGCCCTCCAGCTCCGGCCTGCCCATGGAGGGGCCCAGGAGCCAACACAGGCATCTCTCCAGGGATCTTCAGCTTGACATCACACCAGGGCTGACTCAAGGCTCTGTCTCCCTGCTCAACCACAGGGACAGCAGAAGGAGAGGACACACAGGGTTTCCCCCACTCCATCTCAGCCAACCTCCTGCAGTCTCACCCACGAGTGGGCAAAGCACAGGGTGCTAGTAGCACCCCTGCAGCAGCCAGAGCCCCGGGGACAGCAGGCCCTCAGTGACACCCTGCCAGCCCCAAGCCCCATGGGGCAGTGGGACACAGACTGTGGGATCCCCAGCAGGGAACTGGGGGGTGTATGACAGAGAGAATGGAGTGCACCCCTCACTCCCCCAAACTTCAGGGCTGCTCTGCCTGCCCCAGGCTCCCTTACGCACGCAGACAGACACACAGACCTCTCGCACACACACTCTTACACACACTGATACCCCCACTAGGGCAGTCCCCTCCCACAGCAGCACTTGCTGCAACCCCACCACGGGGCATGCCAGGGGGCTCCCACAGGCAGCCCAGACTCCCATCTTCCCCCAAAACCCCACTCCAAGGCTGCTGGGGTGAACTAGTTAGTTAGCACAAACACCCTCCCCCGGCACCTCCCATCTTCTCCTTGGAAAAAGCCTTGGAAGGGATTATTTTTTTTCTCTTTTTTTTTTTTTTTAAACCAAAAAAAAAACCCCAAAAATTATTACTTTTCTCATCGTTTCCCCTAACATCAATGGAGGCACCTGCTCTAGTGATAACACATTGAAAGAACAGTATCGTACACACTGTCTACAGCGCGGAAATGTACAAGCACGAGGTACACGAACCCGAGGGGGGGAGCGGGGACAACAGCACACAAGATTTACATTGAGAAGAGAGGCGGGGGGCTGGCCCCCCTGACCTCTGGAGGGATTAGAAAGGAAGTCTGCAAAGTCTCTCCTTGGTTTGAAGCTCTCCGAACTGGATATAAAACGAGACTTCCAAGAGAAGAAGCCTGTACAAAAGTCAGGACAGGGTGAAAGGGTTTGGGACAGGAGGGGGGAATGGGCAAGGGGGCTCAGGGGGTATTTTCCCATTTTTTTTTTTCTTTCTCTTTTTTAAACTTACAATTTAATAATATTATTTTTTTTTTCTTAAAAAAAGACAAAAGTAGGAGGTACCAGGAGCCAGGGGTTCCAAAGGGGCCCCAGGCAGACTCACGCAGGGTGGAGGGAAACACAGGGGCTGCAGGCAGGGAACAAGGACACCGGCTGCTCCAGCAGAGCCCCAGGTCCTCCGTGCCCCCCCAGCCCCCCACCACGCACTTCCTATATACAAGAGTCCCCCCATGGCTGTGCTGCGCTCTCGCTCTGGGGAGCGAGGGGAAGGGGAAGGTGCAGGAGAGTGGGAAAATGTGACGGGGCCCTATCCTCAACACCATCCCAGCACTGCAGGATCTGACCCTGGCAGGAGGAAGCTCCGTGGCAGAGCCTGAGGCACAGGGAAGGCTTTCCATCACTGCCCCTCCCAACCAGCCCCACGTTGGACTGGGGATGTGCAACCCCACTGCAAGTGGCTGCTCAGCAAACACCAGCCACAGGGCCCAGGGAGGAGGAGGGTCTCTGCGCTGTGCCAGACCCCAACACACGGCATCTGGTAACGCCAGCCGCTGCCAACACCTCCCCACCATTCCCCCTCACTTGGCAGGGAGGGGTCGGGCATGTTGGGACAGGGATGAGAAGCTCTCTGGGCAAGAAGCAGAAAAGAAGAGCGGAGGGGGAATAATGAAGCTACGGCCCCGGAAACCCACCCCTGCCCTGGGGTCCGTCAGGGAGGCAGGCGTGGGGGCGCGGGGAGGCGGCGGGGGTGACGGCTGGGGGCTGCCTGCCTGGTGTGCACCCCGGGCCGTGCACCCCATCATTGACGTGGCGCCGATCCGCCCCCGGTACCTCGCCGCTTCCCAGTCACTCTCCGTTGCAAATGTACAGGTAGATTGGTTGGGACTGAGTCCACGGGGCGGCGGGGGGGCCGTTACTGCGACGCCTGCGACGTGGGGTTCTCTGACTTGCTCTCCTGGCTGGAGGGCGGTTTGCTGTTCCAGGGGCTGTTGGCCCCCAGCGCCGGCGAGTTGTTGAAGCTGTCCTCGTCGTCGATGCCGTTGGCGGCGTCAAACTGCGTGTTCTCCAGCCGGGTGATGAGGCGCTCGTCCTCGTCCCCAAACTCCCCCCCCATCAGCGTGGGCTCGCCTACCACCATCACATCCTGAAAGGGGAGACGGTCCCGAAACATAATCGAGGTGGGGGGAGCCTGGGCCGCTAGACCCCCTCTCATCAGCGCAGCCCCTTTCCCCAGCTGTAGGGCCACGTCCTCATCTCCACTGCAGAACCTGAGCTGGGGCACTGAGTGGGGCAAACACATCCTCGCTCCCTTGCAGGAGAGCAAAGGGACTCAGGGAAGGCAGCTGGGACACCCCCTCCTTCTTTTCTCCATCACATGGGAAGAACTGGGGTGGCTCAGATAGGCAACCCTGGGGGTCAGCCCCTAACAGCTCCCAGGGGCAGGGGTAGAGAACCCTCCCCTCCACCCCAGAGCAGGAAGAGAGAATGGAAACGGGATGCTTACAGGTACCTGACTGGACAGGGCAAAGGTGCTGGCTGGGCTCTTCTTCTTGCTGTTGCTGTTGTTGGTGTTTCCCCCACCAGAGCTCATGGTGCTGCCGCCCGACATCTTCCTTTTCCGGCGCTTGCTGGGCTGCTGCCGTGCTGGCTCAGCTGGTGAAGGATGGAGACATACATGGTCAGTCCCAACAAGAGGAAGCTGATACCCCCCAGGCCCTTTTATGCAAACCCTACTTCTTCAAGGAACACATTCCTCTCCAGGCTGTATCACCACCCTCCTCACCTCCACAGCTCTGCTGTCCTCCCAGACCAGAGGACAGGTGAGGGGGCAGCTGAGGTGAGGAACATTTCCATTCCTGCTTTGTTTTCCACTAGCAGCTGGCAGCCCCGAGGCAGGGAGCACTGGCTGCCTGCAGCCCTGCTCTGCACCACTGGGAAGGCAGACCAGCATAGAAAGAAGCCAAATGCCTGGTTCACCACTCCCAGCCTTATGAAACAAAGCCAAGAACAGCTCTGGGGCTGGGAGAAGCTGGCACGGAGGGCAGGGCCTGAGCAGGCAGTCCCAGAGACCCCCAGGCAGCACAGCAGGCAGTGTGAGACTCACCGGGCGGAGCAACCATCCGCTGCCACTTCTGGAAGAGGCAAGTCTTGAGGCAGTCCCGGGGACTGAGGCTGTAGGTCTTGTGCCGTGACATGAGCTCCTGCATTGGTTCTAGGATTACACAGAGCTGCAGAGAACAGACAGACTCTGGGTTAGATTGCAATGAAAAATGCCTCAGAAAAAATGGAGACCCCAAAACCCTAACCCTACAGCTCTACAGGCAGGTGTCTGTGCTGCAACAACCCAAGCCACGCCATGAGTTTGTGGGATTTGGCAGACTCACTGCTCCATAGCTCTCTACAGCCCCTCTGCAAGATCCTTTTCACACAGCCAGCCTTGCAGCCTACCCACATGCCAGGGCACCCAGGCTTCAGGCAGCTGAGAGCACAAGACATGGCAGAGCTGCAACCCCCCTCTTCTCGCACACTTACTCGGAGGTAGTTGAGTGTGGAGTTTGAGAGCCCACAGCGTGTGATGTTCTTGGATAACTGGTCCAGCATCTGGGGATCCTGTGCCTAGGAGTGAGAGGGACAGAAGGCTCAGCTGCATCCAGGCTGGGAACAGCCCTCCTGTGCCCTGGCCTGTGATGCAGGACTGGGTTGAGGTCCCCCACCTGTACAGCAGCCTGAGGAGCTCAACAGCCCTGTGCTGTTCATGCCCAGGGGAGCTCCAGGAGCTGTACTCACATGCATGGCAAGGATGCTGCGGGGAATAAGTTCTCGATGCTGGCGGATGCTGAAATGCCACGTCTTTATCCTCATCATGTCATCAAACATGAACTCCAGGTAGAGCCGCCCCTCCACACACACCTGGGTGGGCAGGGCACAGGGTCAGGCACAGGCTGCCCCAGCTTCCCCCAGCCCAGATCCCCTGGGAACCCACTGCTGCACACTGGAACACACTCACAGTGGCTTGCCTCTGCCTCTCGTGAGTCTCAACAGAAGCCACACCCACGAGCCCAAAATGCACAGCCCCGTGGGATTGTAGCCACCAAGAGGGCACAAAAAACCAAGGCAGGAGGGCAGCAGAAGCTGCGGGTGCTGGCAGTACCTGGGTGAACATGGGCTTGCCATGCTGGGTGACCATGGTGCACTGGTCACAGTCCAGCGAGACGAAGTTGTTGTGGAAGGATTCCTTGGGGTGCTTGAGCACGTAGTACAGCTCTGTGGCTCCCCCTTCAAAGATGCTGCGGAAGTAACGGGGAATCAGAGTCCGGCCAATCGCTGCAGCAGGAGAAAGAGGAAAATAAGGTCAGTAAACCCAGCTCATCCAGATGTTCCTTGGAATGTACATGAAGAGGGTCCCCCCATGCCTTCTGGCTGGAAACAGCTGAGCTCTGACAGGCTACCCACATCCCCCATAGCACACAACTGTCTCCTGCTGAATGGCAATACCCTTAGGAAGGAGGGCTCCAGCTGGTACTCACTGTATCTCTTTGGTCCATCCTCCAAGCAGAAAGTGATTGTTAACATGGCGTCATCCTCAAAGAACTCTGTGGTGAAGGCATCCCACCACAGATTGTCACATTCCTGGGGACGGCAGAGAGATGCTAAGTTACAGAGAGGAGACAGAAACAGACAGACAGACAGGCACTGGCTGCCAAGCACAGCAGCCACGTGCTCAACCCATGGAAGACTGCGCTCTGAGCTGAGTGCTCAGAGATGGGGGTGATAACCCCTGTCCCACGGCCACATGTGGGAGAAGGTGGTGGGGGGCCCCACTGCTGAAATACTGCCCTGGCCAGCCCTCACCCTCCCAGGTGCCTACCTCTGTCCAGTTCTGCAGCCGCTTGTTGAGCTCAAATATCCTGTAGTCGGTCTGGTTCCCGTACGGCGTGTGCCTCCTGCCCAGACAGCACAGCAAGCCATCAGAGGGGATGGCAGCCACAGGGTGTGGAGAGGTCCTGAGCCCACAGGGGGAATACATACAGCCCCTCCAGGGCTGGCAGAGTCTGAGCAATCCTCCCACAAGCCCCAGCTAGCATGCTGGCCCTGCTGAGGCACCCCCACCACAGGCACGAGCTCCCCCCAAGCAGGGTCCACACCGGCCCCCCATGCTTACCCGATTCCAGGCTCCAGGTACGTCGGTGGGTACATAGGAGTAGGTCTAGCAGTGGAAAGAGATGCAGTCACATCAGTGCTAGCAGGGATCTCTCTGCTCACCACAGCTCCTACTTCCCTGGCTACAGCAGGCAGTCAGGCTCACTGGAGCTGAGTGACTCCCCACAGTGCAGACTGTACTCTGGCTGCCAACATTTGATGGCCCCGTGGGGCGAGCTGTAGCCCAAAACTGGCCTCTGATCCCACATCATTGGCTCCACCACCCCTGAGACCCAGCCAACTGCTCTTTGGGGACATACCCAGCTCCTGTGCAGCAGTGACTGGTGCCAGGCAGGACAGACACTGAAGAAGGGGCTGTTTTGGCAGGAGCTGGGAGGGCTCCCTGTCATTCCAGGGGCTTGATCAGGCAAAGGGCTTGGCCTGACAGAGCTCAGGGCCTGGAGGCTTCCTTCATTCCAAATATCACTCATTCTCAACCCACTATCACCTGTGCCTGCTCCAATTCCCTCTTTGCCCTTGTGCTAACTGAACTCCATGCACTGCAGTCTCTGTTTGCTGCTGGGAAGCATAACACAGAGAGCATGGGGTGCAAACTGCAGAGTGTCCTCGACATTGCAGACCCATCCCTGGGCCCCAGCTCACCCCACATCTCGATCCAGCATGGTGCCTGGGTGGAAGGGGGGGAAGGCGTTGCCGTTCGGGGGCTCCTTTGGCGAGTACAGCTTGAACGACTTAGAGGAACAGCCTGGAGAAAGAGAGAGAGAGAGAGAGAGGACACGGGTCAGTCAGGGGCACCCTGTGAGGAAAGACACGCTGCTGCTGCTGCTGCTGGAGGAGGAGGTGGAAGGATGCACTAGTCAAGCCCCCATCAGCACAGCAGCACAGCCCTATCCCTTCTCTGCTGCCCCCGGATGTCAGCTTACTCCCTTCATCCCACACACAGCTCCAGGCCTCCCGTGTGCAGGATGGAACTCAGAGGGTCAAGGCTGAGCTCTCAGGATCAGCAGCCAGAGGGGTCCAACTGCATCCCAAGCATTTCTCACTGGTACCCAAAGTTTGTCAGTTCTCAGCTGGCTGGGCTTTGAGGATGTGCCCGAGGGGGACAGTCCAGCTGGTGAGCCCAGAGAGGGGCTGGCTGGGCCCTAGCCCTTCCTCCCACACTGCTCCTAATCCCACACTGACCGACCCGGGAATCACACAGGATCTTTTTGCTGACCTTTCTATCGTCATGGTGACGGGTGAATAATTGCCCAGAGGGATGGATGGCAGGTCCCCAGGCAGCCACCATCTGCTGCTCAGGCAGGCCAGTGGCCACCCGGATCCAGGCGGACAGAGAGATCCCACATGCCAGCCCCCAGCTGTGATCAAACCACCCAAAGCCTCACCGCCCACCACAGCACCAGGGCAAAGGAAAAAGGGCCCACAGAGGGGTATGGGGTGTGATGGCGTCTGCAACGGAGCACACGACATGTGAAACCAGCACACATCCTGAAAGCAACCTGGGGCCCCCAGACCTGCTAAGAGAAGACATTAGGTATGCCGGGCAGAGCCAGCCCCAGCCAGGCTCCTTAGGGGCAGCCAGGAGCTCCCACACTCACCACCCACTGCCACCACAAGGACAGGTTCCCGGGCGCAGTGGCTGCCAGCAGCGCTCCCGAGCCCCGCGGGAGCCCCGGCACGCCCCGCGGCTGGCAGGACCCGGCACGCTGCGCCAGGATGCTGCCGAGGCACGCGGCTCCCTCCCTCCGGCAGGCAGGCGGGCAGACGGGCTGACCTGGATGGGGCGCAGCAGTGGGCGAGCTGCCAGGCAGCTCCGGCTCCACCGGCTCAGCCGGCCTGCAGAGCACAGACACGTCTCCCCCCGTCCCGCCGCGGGCGGGGGCCCCGGAGCCGGCCGTGCCGGGCTACCGCTGCAGCCGGGGCCAAGGCGGGATCCCCATCGGCTGCCCGCCCGCACACAGCCCTGGGACCGGCACTTCCCAACGCCCACGAACCGCCAGGATTGCAACCCGGTACTGCAGAACGCAAAGCCAGCAGGGAGGGAAGCGTCCCAGAGGCGCCAGACACACCAGTCCCCCTCTGGGCTCCCCTCCACGGCCACGCTGTGCAGAAGGGTGCCGGGACAGGATCGGAGCAGCAGCTCGACCATGATGGATACAGGAGGGGAGTAAAAAGCACCAGAGCCAAGGAAAGCAGTGCCACCAGCACAGGGACCCAAGATGTCCAGCTTGTTGCAACAAAGAGCTCATTAGCCAACAGAGGTGAATAACCAAGGCACCACCTTCACCCCTGCCGAGCCATCTGGGACCCCAAGTCAGCAGTCACAGGGATTGCACACGCTGCTGAGCAAGGGCTGGTCAAAAATAGAAGGGGTCACCTCCCGAGTATTAAATCCAACTTGCAATGGGGAAAATACGTGTTTTACTTCTTGATTTTTTGGGACCTTTTCACCACGTTTCCCCACAGCAGCTGAACCCAGCTCCTCTCCAGCACTCACCAGGATCTACCAGTCCTGTGGGGCTGGAGCCAGCCCAGCCACTCAGCCGTGGCTCACTGTTCCCACTCCTGCCCGCCTGCAGTGAGGATAAGTCGGACATGGCACAATTTCTCATATAGCTGCTAACAATGTCAGCCCCTTGTTCTTACTGAATGTTTTCACAGATAAAACAAGTTTTAATAGGGAGTTCGGTGCTAGTCAGTTGCTGCTGCAGAGGAGTTTTTGCTTTCTGCTTTATCCACATCAACTTGTGCCTAACAGACAATAATTCAGTCCAAACTGTACTAGAAACATAGCATTTCTATTTCCTCCACTCTGTTGTTATACAACATGACACTGAAGCATGTTCAGCACATAGGAAACTTCCCAAAACTCCCAAACTTCTGCTGAAAACAAACCAATTCATTAGGCAGAGACAGCAGTGGCTGAAGCACTGCTTGTTTCTGGTCATCATGTCCTGAGGGGCAGAAAAAAATCAGACCCAGCAGGTCTCATCCTTCAATTCTTTGTTTTCATTCACTGATGAGACATGGGAAGACTAAATTCCCAAGGCTTCTTGCTATCTTCAGTACCCATCTTGTTTTTCAGGGTGCAGGAAGGTCTCCTGGGGTGGTGAGACCAGGGAGACACATCACTCTCCATCCATTGTGCTTCTCATGCTCTTCCCTAGCTCCCTGCTGCTGGAGATGGGACAGAAGACCAGCCAGGCCAGCACTTCTACCCAAGCCTCCATTTCCATCCTGGGCCTTTCCCAGCAGGTTAGTATGGAGACACCCTGCTTTTGGAGCTCTGAGCGACCTGTGTTAGGATCGAGAGGAGTAGAGAGAAGACTGTTATGTGACCTCAGCAAGACTGGCATCCTGACCAAGTATTATTTTTAATGCAGCGTAAAATATGTCACTGGATTCAGTGGTTTGAAATAACACTAACAACAGCCTTAGGATTTGATACAAGCTGTCCAAACTCTACATTCACTGTAGACACACTACACACGTTACATGAAGTAACACAATTACTTTACAGCAGCAGGAACACCAACTTTTACTCACACATAGGTCATGCTGCCTGGTCCAGGACATCCCTCCATCACCACCTCTTTTCTTGGTACTGCCCCAGCTACCTGCAAGCCCTGTCCAGCCAGGTGCAGTGACACAGAAATGCAGGATGTGGCCTGTCCTAAGCACCTGGTCCTAGCTGCTGTTTCTGCATACCCCTGCTCTGCCTCCTGCTTTGAGCACAGGATCTGGGCAGGGTTGGTGATGCAGGCAGGCTTTGTGTGAACAGGGATGCTGCTTGGTGGCTGAGCATGCAATGCCCCCGTGGAGCATGAGGCAAAGGAGATGCTTCCTGTGGTGGCTCACAGGTGCTGCCCCAGTGACACAAAAACATTCAGCAAGGGAAAAAATCAGGCTGACGCTGCAGCTGGTGAGCTACCGGCCCAGGCAGGTCTGGGCAAAGAGCACAGTGCTCGTGGCCAGGTGGGAGGCTCCATGGCTCCTCCTCAGCGTGGAGGCACAGGAGAAGAGAACCCCGGAAGGAATCTCACACCTCAGCACCCTCGGCCGAGGCCAGGTCCACAGACCTGCTGCAAAAGCGTGGGCAAGTAAACAGCTCCAGGTGGGCGACCGGCCCAGAACAGACGGCAGTGCCCTGCCTGTGACTCGTCTACAGCCCAGCACTGCCCAACCCTCCATGTCTTCTCCTCTGCTGCTCCTGCTTGTGAACTATCAGCCCTACGAGAAAAGCTCTTCTGGTGCACTGTCCGGTGGGTTTGCTGGAGCAGGAATGATTCGCATCCCAGCCAAGCTCACAGAGCTGGGGAACATCAGATTTCCCAAGGCACCAAAAGCACGGTGGAGACCTCACAGAGCCAACACAGCCAGGAGATAGCAGGGTACTGTGAGCTGAGACCAGCACCATGGAGCTGCCTGCCTGGCCAGGGGACATGGAAAGCAGGGAGAAAAGCCCTGCCTGAACTCCCATAACTTCAGTTCACCATCAAAGAGCAAAGGACAAAGGCAAAGCAACATCAACATCTCGTTCCTCCTGTACCTGTGGCTGCTGGAATCAGTGCCCCCCTACCAGACAGGAGCCACCCCTGTCTGGGCAGCCAGTGTGCTCTCTGTGACAGCAGCAAAGCTCACCACCAAGGCAGAGGCTAAAAACACAAATGATGAAAAAAAAATGAAGAAGTGGGGCTTGAAAGGGGCTGCAGGGTTACAGCTCAGCTGGGGAGGGTCCTGCTCCTCCCAGGAGCCTGGGAAGAAGAGAGGCCAGTCTCCTAAGCCGGCCGGGCCGGTGCTTCCCGGAATGCTCCGTGCCTGCTTCCTGGCTGCCTAACGAGGCTTTAAAGTGTAAATAGCGGCATTGTTTCGCAGGGCTGCCTCGGTGGGGTGTGGGTGCCCTGATAGCGGGAAGAAATACATCTTCCCAGGCCAGTACTGCTGGCATGAGGGTGCTATCTGGGACTGGGTGCAGGGCAGCGTCTCAAATAATTCACGTGGTTTTGCCCAGTGACAGTGCCTGGTGTCCGGGAAGTTGGCAGGGCTGGGAGGCAAACACAAAGTATTCAGAGTGACTAGGACAGGCAGAGGCACATGGAGCACACCATGGTCTGTCTCCACAAGCCTGCCTTCACCTCTTCTTTCTCCTTTCTTTGGAATAGAGTGGATTGGGAGAGACCAGTTGCAAACTCCGAGGCTGTTCTTAAGCCCACAGGAACCCAGGTGGAACCCACAAGACACAGCCTGAGACATTATCAGTGACAATATCAATCTGCAGAAACCCTGTTTGCTTTAAAAATGAACAACTGGTGAAGCTGAAGCTCCCACGAGGCTGGGCTCTCCAGGGAAGAGGAGATATCACTTTTGGAAGAGACCATGTGCCATGGACTCAGTGGCATCCAGAGGCTGACCCTGGCTAGGATGCTGCCTGTCCGAAGGCAAAACCTGCATCGCTGCCTGCCTGGCTGCATGCAGGGACTACTCTCTCACTTTTCCCAAGCTGCACATCCGAGCCGTCCACAGAGCTTATCTGGACCACAAGCTGCCTCCCTGCCCACAGCACACCACGTGCATGGCGTCCCAGCCCCAGGTCACATCCTGCAACATTAGTGCAAAAGTCCCCCACAGCAGCACACAAAGCATCTGAACCCAAGGGTGCTCTTCTCTGCAGATCAGGTCACAAATTTAGGGGGACAGCCAGAGAAGGGATAACTACCTGCAGCTAATTATTACAAAGTGACAATC